CCCCCCCCCCCCCATTAACTGAGGGGGCTGTAATTACCCTTTATGCAAACAGCGCCGGCTTGTTTATTGCTCCCTCTTACAAGAAAAACGAGGCCGGGGAACAGGAAAGCCTCGGGGGCGGCATTAGGCCAGCCTGGCCCTGGCAGTGCCAGCGTAGCGTCTGCGGGACTATCTGCGAGGGCTTCTGCGCACATCTGCGGGACCGTCTGCTCACGTCTGCGGGGGCATCTGTGCACATCTGCAGGACCATCTGTCTGCATCCGTGAGGGTGTCTGCGGCGCAGTCCGTGCACGTCTGTGGGGCAGACTGTGCGTGTTTGCGGGGGCGTCTGCATGTGTCTGTGGGGCGGTCTGTGCACATCTGCGAGGGCATCTGCACACGTCTGCAGGGGCATCGCATGCCTGTGGGGGCATCTGTGCACATCTGGTGGACCGTCTGCACGTGTCTGCGGGCCCCCAGAAAGAGCCGCTAACCGCTGTTCAGGCAGTCTGGGTCGCCCGCAGGGTCACAGTTAAGTACCCGCACTCATTGGGCCTTTTCGGTCTCTTGTGGAATTTAGTTTTAGTTTGTTTACACCTGTTTGTCGGTGTCGTCTCAGCCTCATAAATCGCCCTCATGCTGTGGGTAGCCTCTCGCCATTCCGACATGTCATCACGTGTGACCGGCGACTGTCTCGCGTGACGATGTCCAGGGCACCGTGTGACCCCCCCGGGCAGTGGGTTGGACAATGTCAAGTTATTTTCAACCTCCTCTGTGAAACAGAGCAGGACCGCTGTGGACGGGGCGGTCTGCACTTCAGAGAGCCATAATGACTGTAATCTTACACCCTGACAGTGATTAATATGTTAATTTGCCATTGTTTTAATTGGATTGCGGGTCATTTGTTTTGGGGCTACATATTTCATGGTGGGGGGGGGGGGGGTGGGGGGGGGGGGGGGGGGGGGGGGGGGGGGGGGGGGGGGGGGGTCATTAAGTCATTGGCGGAGTAATAAAAACTGAAGTGGATAAAAGTGATTCCTATAAATCACGTGAGGTGCGCTGGGTGTCGGGCGCGGAGATCGATAACGAAATGCGAGCCGTTCATATATATATACGTATCAAACGCAGCTCGTTATGCGTTATATGAAAGCAGAGCAGCGCATTTCCTGCAGTGTATCGTACGCAGTAATAGAGGCCCCGCCCCCTGTAACCCAGGCAGCACAGTGGAGTGCTTTCTCTTTTTACAAGCTTATCGATCGTCACGGGCATCCTATCTTTGGTTTTATAAGTGCAGTTTGAGTGGGTTTTCTGCTTCTGTAGCTGTGCTGTAACTAGCAGCTACATGGGGAACTCTAGGGCCCTGGGGCTGCCTTCTTCACTCAGTTGCCGTAATGGAGTGACCCATTCCTTCCAGGCCATGGTGGTTGAGGGCGTCTGCCCTGTTGGGTTTGCTGACGTACCTGTCTGTGCCATCCTGTGTCTCTCGCCCCCCTCCCCAGCCCATCGGCGCCCTGAACCCCAAGAGGGCGGCTTTCTTCTCTGAGCGCTTCGAGACCTGGGAAGATGAGCAGGTGCCCAAGTTTCACTACGGCACCCACTACTCCACCTCCAGCTTCTCCCTGACGTGGCTGCTCAGAATCGTAAGTATTGAGGGCGGGGTTCACGTCGTCAAACAGCGCCACTTGCTGGCGGGGGGCTGATCCAAAAGCTGTCAGCGGGACTACATTTCCCAGCTGTCAGCAGTCTCCCGCAATGTTTTTATTTAACTGCGTGGTTGCGTGCCGAAACGCGGCCAACAAATCACCCGTCACCGCCACCGCGTCGGCATGTTTATGGCCCTAGATGACTGCCAGACGCATCCCCATTTTACGGTTACTGTAATTTGCATATCTGTCACACCCAAGTATCGCGGCTAATTTGCGGATTACAACTTAGCGGCGCCGCTGCGAATGTCAGGGTGATTTATGTCCTGGCGAGCTCAGGGCTTATCTGCATGCTAACGTATGCGTGCCGCCTTGTTTGTTCCTTCCATATTCATGTGTTGTGTCCCCTCGTCTTATGTCGAATCGGAGGGAGCCTTTGCATACATAGAACGGCCCACGGTTTTGCCTCGATTTTTACCTGGGGGGTCGAGACTATTTGAGACGTTTATATTCTAGCAGTACGGCAGCACGTCTACAAATTACGCCCTTTGTCCATCTGACCTTCATTTAATCGGATGAAAGAGTGCTAACCCCAACCCCCAAATCTTAAAAAACAGTAACTAAAAAAGATTTCAATAATGAAAAAAATGAAAGAAAGATGCAAAACCCTCTATACCCCTATTATTCAAATCCCGGTCCTCGAGGTCCGAGCCCTGCTGGTTTTCCAGCCTTCCTTTACCTGTGAGCCAGGTGTGAAGCCTCTGACCAATCAGAATCAGTAATTATTAAACTAACTACCTGGGAGAACTGAAAACACGGCCTGGATTTGGTATCGAGGTCCAGATTTGAAGAGCCCTGCTCTATACTCATACTCAGGTTTAGGAGCTGGGGGAATGGGGGGTCACTTGTATCCCCCCAATATTTAATTTGGCATCATTCGTTCCTCCAATAAAAAAGACCTTAGCATTTAATTTATTTGCTGTCTCCCCCACCCCAATATCAAACTCCTAGAATTTAGTGCACAACAACGAAATGTGTCCTCTGCATTTAACCCGTATGTGACATAGCAGGGGGCAGCTAATTCAGCGCCCGGGGAGCAGTGCTTGGGGGCGGTACCTCAGTGGTGTCCTGCTGGTCAGGGATTCGAACCTGCAATCTTTGAGTTACAAGTACGCGTCCCTAACCATTAAGCTCCCACTGCCCCCACCCTCACACACAGATACGCTTTAAAACTCCTCAGTCCCAGTTTGTGGGGTTGAAGCCCCATATTACAGGTGCCTGTAGGTTAAGAACACCAGACGCATTATTCATGCTTAAGCAATGAAAAAGCTGTGATTTCTGATTGGCCGGCAGCTCTCCTGGCTCTATACAGGTCATGTGGCCCTAATTGTTTTAATCCCATTCAGCCCTGATGTTCGTATTTAAATCCTTTGATGTTTTAGAACAAGAAGCAAGAGGAAATGTGTTGCTGCGCCGATAGAGTGTGAATGCATGTATTAAAATGGGAATTGTATAAATTCTGTTCAGTGTGTCTGTAAAACATGCATGAACAATCTCCTGTTGATATGAGGAGCTTGTATGCTGAGCTGGTTCCTCTCATTGGTAGGAGCCGTTCACCACCTTCTTCCTGAACCTCCAAGGGGGGAAGTTCGACCACGCCGACCGCACCTTCTCCTCAGTGTCCCGGGCGTGGAGGAACTGCCAGAGAGACACCTCCGACGTGAAGGTGAGAGGTCGCTCGGCGGCGGCGTGCGTAGACGCACAGCGCTGGCCAGTTGGGCTCTCCCCACACGTCAACCTCCTGACAGCTAGACAGCCGCACGCGGCTTTGAGATCCACGCCCGTACTCTCGCCGAATACAGATCCTGCGGACCAGAAAGAAGAAGCGTCCTCCTCATTTCGACGTCACAGGTTTAAGTAAAATCTACATCTCGGGCCCTCGATGGACCCCAAGCCCCCAGTTGGGCTTTTAGCTGCCGAATCGCATTTATGTTTATTCAGAGGATGCTTTTGTACGCAAGATGATGCTTAACAAGCGTACAGCTGTCAGGAAGCCCCGCGTTAAGCACGAGTGCTGTTAGTCTGAGCCTCCGGTGATCGACCGGAGACAAGTGCACGGTGTTCGTGTGGATAAAGAGCCGCACAAACACTGTAGGCTCAGCCGCCTCCCGGAGCCCAAGGGGAGTCCTCCTCTCTCCGCTCGTCTGGAGCGGATGTCAGGGGTTTTGTCGACGTGCTTTGGACACGTGTAGCAGCTGTAGAGATGCTGCATAGTCCGTAGGATATTAAATAAACCCAGCAAGCTCACGTCTGAACTGCCGCTCATCATCCTCACCAGGAATCTTCATCGTGATCAGAGATATCTAATTAATCTCTGGTTTCACCCCCCCCTACACAGCCCGTCCCGCCGCCCTGACCCTCCCGGCCGCTCTGCCGGCTCCTAACCTTCTCCTGAACCGTTTCAAGCCGGCTTTAGTGGTCCTCAGCCACCCCGAGAGCTCCCTCCCAATGGCGAGGCCTTCAAAGTCCTGCTCTGGGCTTTAACGAGCAAGTGCAGCTCGTTAAACGGCGGCAAGCGCGGCCACTTCACCGTGTCGGCGCTGATCCGGGCTCTTATCCCGGCGCTGGTTCACTGCTGATAAAACATCTGTTTCCTATTAACGGCAACACTCGATTGCAAGCTCCTTCTCTGGGCTGGTCTGCTCTCAGTCTGCCTCGTCACAGTAAATAAACAGTCGGCTCTCTTCAAATCGGAACATTAAGGTTTGAAAATGAGTATCCATCGTGTTCGTTACACGGGTGTTCTGAATCAATAAATCCTTCCATCCCAGAATAACAAAACCCTTGGGGATGAATTGTGATTAAACAGTTTTTGGTTCCTGTTTCGGGGGGGGGTGTAATCCATATGTTCAGATATGCTCAGGATAGTTTCTGATTTGGAAACCAGTTTAATTTTAACTTTCTTTATCTAATTTATTACGCAATCTGCTTTTCTGTCTTTGAAAGAACAAAACAGATTTTAAATGATTTGTAATCAGAATGAGTTGATTGATGTATCAATTGCCTGTTTTGTTCTTTAAACATTCAAAAAGCACAGTTGCTTTGCTTAGTAATCTCCTTTTTGAGTCGAGACAAAGGGCTGGGGGGGGCTAGAAGGTGTGTGGGGGGGAGGTTCTTGGCATTTGTATCCAAGCTAAAAGCTGATCCAAGGCTAATGCCTTCTTGAGCCAGTCAGTCTCTGGCCCAGTCCGCAATCCGCTGACCCCTGCTCTAGCCCCTCGCCCCCCCCCGGGGGCCGAAAGGCGGGAGCCGGAGAAAGTGTCCCCCGGGCCGCGGCCCTCCGCTGACCCATGGCAGGACAGGATTGTGGGTCACAGACGCTGGCCCCCAACATGCCCGCACTGGGGCCGCCCTGCATCGCAGCCTGGGGACAGGACACCCGTATTTTTCCACTTGTTAAGCCGGCCGCTGCTGCCCCCCCCCTCACCATCATTACCAGTGACCTCTTCCCATTAGACCTGGCGTGTCATCAGTCCTGTGTGCCCGATCGCACCACCGTTTTTCCTCAGCTATGCCAAACGTCCACTCTGGGCACAAACTTGTGTGGAAAGATGCTGGTTTCCTTAACATGGCCTCATTTACTGCCAGTTTGTCGCTCTTATGAAATCGATATCACCAGTTCTTGGTGACCGGTACCCAAACCCGGTGGAATCCGTGATTTATTCCCCAGATATCAGATGTTGCTACATTTAGAAACGAGCAAACTCCGGGACAACCGGAATGGGATGGATTTTTAGGCAATATTACGCAAATTGAATGTTTGGAAGAATGAATGGAATGCAATGGAATGACGAATCCTGAAAATAGCTAGCTGAGAAAGCAGTAATGCTTATGTTGAACTGCAGCAAGAAGAATATTGTCCTTTGCAGGGAAACTTATGGACTTGATTAAATATAAATGAAGCAACAACACGAATGTGAATGTGCGTGGTGTACAGAAACTGCTTTATAAAAGCAATAAGGCTTTCATATCTCCTAGAGCATTTCAGATTAAGTACTGTGCTCAAGAGTGCTATAGAAGGGGCATGTCTTTAGTCGCTAGGCCTTGTTGAAATTCTCTAGTGCCACTTAGTGTTCTATAAGGGTTGTTTTAAGGCTGTGTACATCTACGTGGCTTTAGTGTACGTTGAGATCAATGCAGGGATCGATTTTATGGAAGTTTTCCCATAATGCACTGTGCCCACACCCCCGGTGTTAAACGCCCTATGGCATTCTCTGGGCCCCGGCTTTAACGTGAGCTCTCGGGCAGTCCATCAGTTAACATTTCAGCATTATTGGGCTGTCACTTGCATGCTTCCTGGAGTCCCGACGCCTCTCCACATGCCTGCCTTTCAGCAGCGGTCTTGCGTCTGGGATCTTTAGCGTTTCGGTAGCGACGGGAAGTTTGTGTGTGCGAGTCTGCTGAGCGTTCGCCGTCTGCCCTGCCCAGCCCCGCGACAGCGAGTTCATATCTCTGTGTTTGCGCAAGGTTGTTTGGACACATCCTTGCTCTGTTTCTGTTCCGTGGCGCTCCGTCTGTGTACATCTGCATTGTGGGGTGTCATTCTATACGTGATTTAATGTAGGCCATGGGATCTGGCTTAGGAGATGTGTAGCATGCTCCATATGGCAGCAACTGTGCCTCTCACACACACACACACACCAAAGCAAAGACTCTCACTCAGACCTGTGTAGCCAAGACCTTTGTTTTCCTCAGCCCTTTTACTCCAGTTACTGATTTTGCCAAAAGGTCTTTGCTGGGTTTGTTCTCTCTCTCTCCCTCTCTCCAAGAGTACTGAGAAAATGTGTCCTTTTCAAATATGTGTTTTTTCTTTATTTCCAATTACAAACACAAACAGAGGCCAGCCAGCGTGGGAAGTGGCCTGCACCCACACTCCTGTTTCGATTGCTTTTATCAGGGTGACATTTCAGAGCGCCGTGCAAATGAAGGGTTTGAAATGTAATTTTTATGAGTAATGATACGTTTCCAACCGTGGTGTGTTTGCCGGGCTGGGAGACGGACGCCGTGCGAAAGATTAAAGCCGCTGCCTCACGCCGATATCACGCACTGAGTTATGTACTCACTCTGCAGTCTCCCCCCCCCCCAATAATGCATGGAGGGGGGCTCACAATTCCTCAGCTTCAGAGACTCGCGTTCTCATTCCAGCAGGCCTGTAACGCGCTTGGTTCCAGTAAAATCCCACATCTGCAAAATGCTTCCTGTTCGGTGCTCTGGTTGTTCTGTAGTTCTGTGAAACAGTCACTGATTCTTGCCGTGTTCCAAATCTTTTCCGGTTCCCGTTTTGGCGTTTTGAATTTCCAGGTTTTACAGAAAACCGCAGCGGATGGGCGAAGCCCGCAATGGCGTTCTGGTGTCAGATGTAGCTTCCCGGCAGGGGCTGCATTGCGACCGGGCTATTCTTCACCCCGGAGTCCACAGCAGGACCCCTTCAAGACGACGGAAACACGACTCGTAAATAAAGCTCATCCTCTTTTCTCCCCCCCCCCCCCCCGCAGGAGCTGATCCCTGAGTTTTATTACCTACCAGAGATGTTTGTCAACTCTAATAATTACAACCTGGGCGTGATGGACGACGGCACAGTGGTTTCTGACGTCGAGCTGCCCCCGTGGGCCAAAACCCCAGAAGAGTTTGTGCGCATAAACAAGCTGGTAAGACGAGCCGTGTCACTGGCGTGTGTGTGTGTGTGTGTGTGTGTGTGTGTGTGTGTGTGTGTGTGTGTGTGTGCGCGTGTCCACACACTCTCCTCTGACAGCCTCTCCCTCCCCTTAGCACCAAATGCTAATGCCACCAGACACAGTTTTTTCCTGTCTAGCTACCTTCCCTTTACCTGAAACTCTCGCTTTTCTAAGACTCAGGGACAGCGATCTTTAATCACGGCTGAGCTGCTGCATCGCTTGTACTGTCCTGCTCCTCATCTTAGTCATTGTAGCATGGTGGAACAATTAATACTTCTGATATTGTACGAAACCCTCACATTTTCATGTCTATTTTAACTAGGAATATATATATATAATATATATTTGTTTTTATCCAGAGCAGCATACATTTTTGAGAAAACGGGCTCAGCCAGTGGTTGGTAGTTAAGGACCCTGCTTGAGGTCCCAAGGGTGAAATCACTGTACTGAACCTGGGATTTGAACCAGCAACCTTCCGATCACAGTCACACCATCCTAGCCCGTTGAGCCACACACCATTAAACGTCAGCTTTCTGCTTTTAGTGATTTGCTATTAGAGAATAATACTAATAGTGTTCTTTGTTATGTACGGGCGGCCAGTCGAGAGGGGCGTGGCCATCTTGGGGACGCTGGCGGGCTCTGCTCCGTGACCCGTCCCGGGCCGCTAATCAGATGCTGATGCTGCCTCGGCCCCCGTCATTAATCATCTGCCGGGCCCCCTGTCGCCCTCGCCGGCTGGCAGGCCCGACGCAGCCCGTCCCGTCCCAGCAGCGGCCGCTGGAGCCTCACGGTGGGCTGCATTGCTGTGGCACCGTGGGCTGGTGATGTATTGGCCGGGGCTAATTAGGCCCCGTACGGTAGCCCAGCGCCGCGCCGCGTTAATCAGAGTGTGCCGAGCGGTTTGCCTGACGTTCTCGCTCAGCCAGAGAGGGGGGGCACCGGGCCCGGTGTGTGAATACGGCGCCAAACCATCCGGGAGAAGCTGCATCCTCATCCTGTCCGCGTCGTCCCTGCTTTCATCCCGCCGTTCCGTGTTCTCCACGGATTCCCACATCCTCCCCACGGCTGGCTGGGAAGCGGAGCGGATCGATCGGCCTCCGGCCCGTGTGGCGCTTCCTGCTTTGTGCAGATACGCCGTATCGATCCGGCCGACGGGGCGGGGCGGGGGGCTGTTCCTTAGGAACCGAAGCTACCGGCCAATGCTCGTCACGCCTCGATGCTCAGAGCAGCGACTGCAGATGATGCAGCAGCGTCTGTAATCATTTATAAACACGCGGCGGCATGTAAACATCGCTCCTCTTCTTGTGGTTTAGGGATTTTCTTTCTTTCTTTCTTTTTTTTTTGTAAGCATCAAGGCTTCAGGTTGCCTTTTGGGTTAGACGGCAGAGGAGAGCGAATGGCGTACAGGACTCTGAAGCAGAAGTGGGAGACGGGTCCCGCTCTCCTTAAAGGGTCGGCCAGTCGCGACAGACGTCCAGGGAGGGGGGCGAGCGGGCCTTTTGTTCCTGTCTGACTTGCTGTAGCTTTTGTGGGGGGGGCACAGTGAAGGAGCAGTTCGCAAGTGCCATGCAGAGGTGCTGGTATGGGTGGCGCAGAGGAGGGGGGGGTGTTTGGGGGGGGGACTGAGCCCTGCTAATGACTGATAGCAGCATTATGGGGCGTCAGCTGGCCCCCGCGGCAGGGGTGGAGATCCGTAATGAGAGCCGCGGCCTCTCCTCCGTGGCGAATCAGGGGGACGCACGCCGGCTAATGGGACGTTTGGGCCGTTGATGCCGTGCGGGGGAGGGGGGAGCCAATCAGTGGCGTCCTTCATCCACAGCAGCTAATTAGACGCCGAACTGTGAACCATCGGCCTCCAATGACTCTGCTGCAGTTTGGTTATTAACATAGTCACTGAGTTAGATATCAGTGTCGTGGGTTTGCCAGGCTTGGGTGTGTGTTTTCCCCCCTTATCGCTGTATAGATGAGTGTCTCTCAGTGGATTTTAGCACCGCACGCAATTCCCATGTGGCCCCCAGGGAAGCCTCACCAAGCAATTTCACTTTGACTCAGGCGGTAGGTGCCGGCGTCTTGCTAAGTCTGCACCCCCTCAGAAGATGGCTCACCCCACCCTGGCCGTGTCTGAATTCAGGGGCTGCGTCCTGCGACGGATGCGGTCTACGTAGCCTTTGTAGGCTGCACCTTTCGGTGATTCACGCAATGAATCTTGGGATCGCAGCCAAACGCATTTCTAGGCCGCATGCGAAGGAGCCTTTGAAACGGGACGGCCTTGTGGCGCCGCTGTGACGCATTCGGTCTTCGAACGCAGCCTTAGAAGATGGCGGTCCCCGAATTCGGTCACAGCTCATCCCATGTTTGTCGGATGAGCTTCCCGCTCTACAAAGCCATTGTCCGATTCGCCCAGCCCATCCTCTCTTATGCCTGACCGAGCTTGTCACACCGGCAGGCTGTACGAGTCACGGGTGACAGCGAGACTCCCCCCCCCCCCTTGACAGCCTGTGGTGGGGAGCAGTTCTTGCTCACTATATGCCAACTGCTTGCAGTAGCTGCCATGGTGACCGCTCAAATGTGACACCGATGTTTTTATCATAGGCCTGCATGCTTTGGGATGTTTTAAGCTCAGAGACTTGATCCCACAACCTTCTGGTGATGAAGCTGAAGGAGAATCAGTATCACTCTGAGACCCTATGTCTCAATAGCTCAGTAAGTCTCACCGACAAAGGAAGCCATTGCTGCCTATTTACAACTATAGGGATTTCCGTAGCATTTCCTGACGTGCATGTCTTGGGTCGGTTGCTGGGTGACCTTTGCTCACGCAGACTGAGAGTTCGCCAGCGCCGGGCTGCACACACGCGGACATCGGGATCACAGACAGGCCCTCGCCGTCCTGATGTGACGCGACACTTACATCAAGATTGATTATTGTTTTTAGCCAAAGGTCGACGGAGAGGCTAAGAACTTGATCCCTCCGGCCGACCTGCACTCTGGCCGCGTTTCATCTAGGCTCCCAAACATCCTGCTTTATACGAGCCGGGTTCGGTGCTACCAATCCCCGGATCTGTTCGTGATTAGCAGCTCTGAGCCATGCTGCTCCGCGCAGAGGGGGGGGGGCATTGATGTCTGTGGGTATGAGTTGTTGCATGCTAAAAATATTTGGGGTGGCACAGCCACATATAATTATTTAGCTGCTGAGCCAAAATGTTCTCTTGTTCTAATTGAGGATTTTAATGATTTTGTCCATTTTTAATGATAGTTCCCTGGACAAATTCAGACTTGAGGTTATGAAGCTGAACTAGAATTATACTTTCTGACCCTGTGTCTCATTAACTTTTTTTTTTTTTTTGCTTATTTTTGTCCCTTTTTGTGGAAAATGATGTTTTGAGCATGTTTGAGGTGTCTGCAATCGTGTCCAACCTCAGCTGGCATCCTCAGTCATGTGATTCCTGATAGCCAATCAGAAGCATCCTTGGGGCTCTGCTTATCTAGACTGACAGCGAAGGCTCAGGTGGAGCCGGTGACTGGCAGGAGTGCCTCCCTGCCAGAGGGTGTCCTTAGTCATCACTGTGACAAAGCTTCCACTAGATTGGACGGCGGGCCTGGCTCTCCAGAGCCTCAAACCCGTAACACGAGCCGACTGACAGTACCCAAGCGGGACGGACTTGCACCTGAAACCACCCGGCGTCAGGCGAGTGTGCCGACAGTATGGTTTTGCTGTTAAGCGTCTCATCAGGTGGCCCGAACCCGCAGCAGACACCTCGTCATTCTCAAGCCCTTTGTACCCCTGACCCTCCATGTATAGAGTGCGGCGAGGGGCCGGGAATGCTGGGAATTCGGCTCCCGGGGCGAAGCAGCTGCCGGCCCGTGTTTACCCCGGGGAGGGCTCCTGTCCCCCAGCTGCATACATTGCAGCCACGCGCTGAGAGATGTGTGCCACCGCAGCGGCACTTAAGGGGCACTCGTGGGGTCTGGGCATCGCCCCGCGCCAGCCGTCAGCTCGATATGCCGACAGCCCGTCCGGGGGGGTGACGCCTTTGTGCCTGAAGAACGGGCTCCACAATCTGTCAGTTCTCTCATCGTTTCAGAGCACTCGGCGTTTAGCTCCTGTGAGTGACAGCAGGCCTGCTCTTATGGGCTTCCCTGGGGGGTATCAGGCTTCCTGCATCAGAAGGGTGTCTGATCAGACCTGGGATGTCACCTCCTCACCAACACTCTCCCTTCTCATCCCAGAACTTCAGTCCAGCCTTCGGTAGCTCTGACGCCCCCCCCCCCAAACCCCATGTCCTCCCAGAGAGATGCTGAACCATCACAGCGGCCCTTTATCTTCACCTGAAACATGCTGCAGGATGTTACTGACCGTGGGGCCAGCCCCCCCCTCAGAGACCTGCTGGATCTCCCGCTTTTTGTTGTGCCTCCACTCTCTCTCTCTCTCTCTCTTTCTTTCTAGCGCTCACGATTGATTAATTCATTAGTCAGTATGAATAATTTTGCTGATGAGGCCGCTTTCCAGAGCGCAGGTGATTTGTACCTGCCCAAGGCGGTTGGTCCTCGCCATCTCTGGGTTGATGACCATTAATCAGCCGCAGTGCACAGGCTGCCATCTTCCCGGGCCCAGATTGGACATCACCCAGAATTCAGGTGTTATGGGAGCGTCCCCACTGTCACCCCCTTACGAGTGCAGTACCCTCTCGTCACGAACGTGCCGGACGCTTTCTTGGCATTGGGGTGGGGGGGGGGGGGGGGACTCTGCCACAGCCTTCTGGAGACAAGGCGCCCAGTCGAGCATGCAGCATGACTTGGGCGGGGGGGATTAATTTGCAGGACAGGGGACCTTGTCCACATTTCAAAGCGGTTTTTTGACAAGGACGCGGAGGAGTTTTGAGCATGCATCAGTGCACTAAATGACCCCGCGCTGCGCTTTAACAGCACACATTAATCCTGGGATTTCACTTCATTAGAAGCAAATATTCCCCTGCATCCCTGCCCCCTCCCCATCTGCAATCGCCCCCAGCTGCTGCTTTATAGCTTTTGTTTTTCTGGTAATATGGAAAATGTAATATTTTTTATATTATTCTTCGTCGTCGTCTTATTATTTTATTATTTGCATAGTGTGGCATCGGGTGACAGTTTTGTCTCATTCCTCTAGGGTTGTGGGTTTGAATCTCACTTCCGCCGTGTGTTTGGGTTTGCGTGCTGTTCGCGTGCCGTGTGGGTCTTGTCCCTGTTCTGGTTTTCTCCCAGAGAGGTGGGAGGTTAGGTGTGAGTGTGTGCCCTGCACTGGACTGGTGCCCCATCTAGGTTGTCCTTGGCTTTGTGCTGCCTGGGATGGGCTCCAGGTTCCATCCCCAACCCCACCCTACCCCACCCTGACCGGCATAAGCGCCCCCAACCATATCTGGCCTTATGGAAACATAAATGTTAGCGCATTAGTACTACTATAACAGCAGCATATCACCTGCTTTATTACTGAGTCCTGACTATTCCTTTTATTATATTATTGCATACATAATTATATGTCTTTGCTTCATGGGACTATCTCCAGCATCTTATTCTGAACCTAGTTATTTACTTGTGGTGGTATTTCCAGTGCTCAGTAGGCCGGTCTGTGGGTTTTGACAGATGCACCCTAGTACCAGTAGCATGTCCCCACAAGACTTTCACCCACCCCTTCCCGGCCGTTTTAGAAGCATGTGACCCGGAACGTGACTGTCCTGCTCTGGCTTCTTCCCTGCAACCCACCTGGGAGGGAGCAGGGCAGGGTGCTGACTGTCTGCAGGTACGGCCGGGGACTCCTACAGTGCAGACTGGGATGCTGAGGGGGACCCTCTCCTGGCTTTGTGGAGCTCATACAGTACACAACGGAGCCTGTGTTTTCTCCTCCTCACCAGCGGAGGCAGGCTTTTTTTTCCCCCATTTGCTCAGAGAAAGACGTTCCTTTCTGTTCACCTGCGAACGGACCTGAGCTCACTTCCCGCAGAAAACAGTCACTGATTGCAACGGCTTATTGTGCCAATCACTAAGACTCCCACCGCGGTCCCTGTCCTTTGTGTTTTGGCTGTTAAGGATGGGCACCTTTTATAGGTTCCACATGGAGCAGATTAAAATCTGCGGAGGATTTTTATCCCATTGCCTAAACGTGTTAACGGGATCGCCGCTGCTAATATCCCCCATAGCTGGACTGTACCAACAGGGCAGTACCATGCAGGACCAGTCTGTGGGCGGCTCCTCATGTAGGAACCTTTCTGGTCAAAGTGGGTCAGCCCACTTTTTTTGGTGGGGGGGTGGGGACAGGAAATACAAACCCATACTGCTGTCGGAATCACTCACTTTAGCGAATGTTTTTATTGGAACCGATGTCAAATTGTAAAATAGAGAAAGTAATATTTTCTTTTTAGCTTTTCGGGGGAAAAAACTATAATTAGGTATGTGAATTACCCTTGTCATACACCACTGCTGTAGAATATCAGTCTCCGGCAAACTGGTAGATGAGCAAATCTTCGAACAGAAAGATCTCAGTGCACATCCTGTGTAACAGGGATGAGGCGGAATCTGCCGGAATTATGAATTCTTTTAAAAAAAAAAAAATAACCATAAAAATCAGATTTGTCAGACTGCTACCTCCTGGAAGCACCAATATGGGCCTTGCCCAACTCCATCCATCAATAATTGCACCCCCTCCCCCCCAGGGACTACAATAACACACACAAAGCCTCCTAATTGGTGCATAAATAACCATTTTTTTTACTGCTACTTTTCCATGCAGGAATTTACTTACCAACGTTCAGTCTCACACGTGCCCTTTTCTTCATAGGGACCTAGTTTTGCATATGACTTTGGCTGGCTTTATTGAGCTCTGTGTGTGTTGAGTGTGTTATTTAGGTGTGTAATCTGTAAGCCGGCTGTAATTTTTGAACAAGCTCGCTACAAGTGGCGCTGGAATTTCCCCTCCTCTTTTTTTTATTTTTTTTATTCATTTTCCAGTCCGCGGGCAGCGAACTGCCGCACGGGCAAGAAAATGATTTAGCGCCGTGCGTATCTGACATGCTGATTCGCTCTTCATTTGTGTTTTCATTGACCGGCCCGGTTGCTATGAAATGACACCATAAGGCAGTAACCCCCCCCCCGACTGGAAGCAGAATAAATGCATTTTGAATAGTTGATAAGGTCAGTCCTCAGAGAGTGTGCAGGTCGGCTGTAATCACGCGTTGATTCATGTCCCGCTCAACCCCCCCATCCCCCACACACTTCAGGCATGAGAGCTTCCTCCGTAAATGGTGATTAACATGAAGGTTGTCCTCTGGAGGGAGCTGCAAAAACACGCTGCCCCTTTGTTTTCCTCACACTGATTGACACGGTTCCGCGGCGGCACATTAAACGCCCATCAGCCGCGGGAGCGGCGGAGTCAGGGCCCGGCTAAGGTCAAGCACGCCGCATAATGAACCGATCTCATTGCGTAGCGGGGTTGAAATAGGTGTGCGTTCCTAATAAAACACACGGGTGATCGCTTTTTAATTAAGGTGGATACACGCTACTTATGGAAGGCAGAGGGTGGAAAAAAAGAGTCCGGGAATGATAGCATTAGTTAGCATGTTTGTAGCATTTCAGCGTAACGCACGCTTGCTGTTTTTGTAGTAGCATTATTTTGTAGCATTTTTTTATAGTATTTTCAGGTAACGCATGCTAGCATTATTTTGTAGCATTTTATGGTAACATACAATAAAAATAGTACTTGTGTATTTTCAGGTAACACATGCTAGCATTATTTTGTAGCATTTCACTGTAGCATCTGCTAGCATTTTGTGTCATTTTAGGGTAATGCACACTAGCATTATTTGATAGCATACAGAAATGTACTTTAGCATTATTTTACAGTAACTTACGTTACCATTACTTTGTAATATTTCTGGGTAATCTGCATTAGCATTGTATTGTAGCATTTTACAGTAATGCACATTTGCATTATTTGTAGCATTTTACAGTAATGTGTGTTTCCATTTTTAATAGTATTTTGGGACTGTGTTCACTAGCGTAATTTTACAATATTTTTAGACTAATAATTTTAGGATGGTTTATGCTAGTGTTGTTTTGTAGGATTTTACGGCAATTTCAACCAGCATTTTTTTGTTACATGCTAATAGTAAATATTAAAATTTAACTGTGAGCAACCATTTCTGAGATGTGAGTCAATAACTGGAAGCCCTCCTTTCTCTATTAGAAGTGCATTAATGGCCGACCCCTTTACCCACGTCACATAAAGTCCTCGTAAACTCGTCACAGAGCGGCTTTCCCTGGGCTACCGTCATGATCTCGTCGAGCGAAAATGTCGGCCTTTGATTGAAGGTTCTAATTAAGCAAGTGGAAAGAACGAGCTGAAATTAGCTGTCAGGAAGTCACATTTAAATGAGTGACGATCCGCCGATGCCGTAAACATTTAAATGATATAAATAGCCGTTTAAGTGCGCGGTTTAATGTTTGTCATGCATTAATGTGACACCAGCCAGCGATGACAATCAAGCATCTCGTCCTAATTTAGACGCTTTCGGGGGTCCCCTTTGTGCCGGCAGCTTTGTGCAAATTAACACAATTGCTGTTTTTATGCACTCTCATAAACGGAGGCACGGGTTGGGCAGCTAATGAAGAGAGCAGCGCGTTTTATCACAGCGCTGTGACATTAAAAAGGCATTTCCAGCACCACCAAAAGCGATATTGTCTCATAGCCTTCACTAATGGAGCATTATGCCACCTTTTGCAGTGTTAATGTATATCTTTCTTTTTGTGTCTGCGTGTGTGTCATGTCTTAAGAATGTTCCGGAAAGCTTAACCCTGTTCAAGGTGCTGGAAATCACACGCTAAGCTCCAAAAGGTTATAAAGCATTTGAATGTGCGTTCAGTAAGAATGTTGGTCGTTAAGGGTTCTCATTCTGTACGGATGACGGTGGTTTCTGGGGAAATTTCGGGTACCGCAGGAGGAGTGATGTGGAAGTGTGAATTAAGTGTCGGCCGGCATGTTGCAGGAGCGGCGGCGGCTTGATCGATCTCTTTAATATGTGCGCTCACGTGCGCGTCTGTCCCACAGGCGCTGGAGAGCGAGTTCGTCTCCTGCCAATTGCACCAGTGGGTCGACCTCATCTTCGGCTACAAGCAGCAGGGCCCCGAGGCCGCCCGGGCCCTCAACGTCTTCTACTACCTGACCTATGAGGGCGCCGTCAACCTGAGCACCATAAACGACCCCATGCTGAGAGAGGTGAGTGACATCACCCCCACCATCGGGGACCGAAAACAAACAGCGTGAAGGAAACATCCTCCCCCTTTCACCAGTACGTCACAAGCAGTCTCACTACATCTCAATTAATTTATTGTGCTTATTGTAGAATTTTAAGAGGAGCTTTAAATCTGTGGTCTCACTGTGAGTCGTGTGAGACCCATTCAGATGGCTCCTTGTGTTTTTATTTATTTTTCATAACTTGTCCATCTTACAATTCCTGTAAAGCTCTCGTCCTGGTAGGTTTTTGGGGAAATTACTCTCGCTGCCCAAAAGGAGAGCCTGTGGATGGTGGGAATACCGGGGGGGGGGGGCGCTCTTCCGGGGTTTTACAGGCACAGCGGAGGGCCTCAAGCTCGGGCTTCACCTCGGCCCTCCTGGCAGGGGGGGGGGGGGGCCCCCCCCCCCCCCCCCCCCCCCCCCCCCTTCCTACCGCTGGCCCGTCCTTCATGCTCACTGACTGTGGCACTGGGACGTTTGCGATTTATGGGCCCATCCAGGTGATGCGGGTGCGGACACGCCCCCCGGCCGGGCACATGCAGATTCATTGCTGGCATTTCCACGCCGGACCCATTACACTGGCGTCTGTTTAATACACGAAGCAAAATTGGATCTGTGGCATGCGGCATTTCCCCAGCGCTGCTCCAGTGGCCAGGAAATAGATAAATTCATGGCGACGTCGTTAGCAGCGGCTGGGGCTCCCTGCAATTCGGGAACAGTCCCCTTGTGGAAATGAACTCTGTCTCGTGTGCATGCGCACACACGCACACACACACACACGCACACACACACACACGCAAATGCTCGACAGTACCGCTGCCATTTGAGGCTCAAATTCCTGCTTTAAAAAAAACATCCTGCAAATGATGGCCCTCGTGCCCTTCCAAGTGAAATCCACAGCCTCGCAGATTCTCGGTCGCCTGTGCTTACTGTAGCTGTCTTCTTGGAGAGAGCCACAGGGGGCGCTCTCCCCATGGGCCGTCGGTGCTGTTCGGGACCGTGCTCTAGCAGAATGGACCTCTGTTTGGTCTTAGCTGCATGTTCATCCTCTAATTACTTCCTGTTTCGCTTCGCCAAGCAAAGTTGAGCTTAATAGCAGTCCTCTCCAACATGGCTCCTCTGTCCTCACTCCTGAAAACCCACCATGCCACATGCATGCATGAGGACGCGGGGTACGGAAGCCCAGCTGGGTCATTATGACCCATGTTTGCCATTCCAGCATTTCTGGAAAATCACTGGTGAGAATCAGTTCAGTGACTTTAAAAGTTTATTGTATATTAACTCCAGTGGACTGTTACCAAATCATCATGGACTGTCTGTGACGTCTCACTGGGCTCTGGGGGAAGTACTTCTTACGCACTTAACTTTAAATGTCACCAAGGTACCGCGTAACAGTCATAATGGCTCGTCTTGATTAGATGCATTCCGATTTCCATAAGCAATCCACAGGACGCCTGTGGTTTGGGGGGGGATTTCGCCGTTTCTGTGTGTGTGGATTTCAGCAGCTTCCCCAGATAACCCTCAGGTAAATGAAGATGAGGGTCAGGTGACCTGAGAGCAGGAAATAAACGCATCCAGCATGAATTTATGCTTCCTTCGTCCACACAGTTACGCTGCCGCACGAGTGACCGGGACGAGGTGATGTTGGTTTCCCCTACCATTCGGGTCCCGTTTCATAGAAGAGTTTCAAAACAATGACTGTCTTTATGAAAAAGCTTTGCTGCGGGGGGGGGCTCGGTGGCATCACGCACTAGAGATGAACTGGGACGGCTGGGAGCCTCGTCCCACGGCTCTGCTTAGCCTCAGACGGAGGGGCCGTAGGGGGGTGGGGCGGGTTCACGGCGCCTTTCTCATGGAAACACCATTCGCAGTACTCCGTGATGACCTCATGTTCGGGGCCTGCCAGCCGCCCCGCAGACTCTCGCTCTTTAATTCCTACCCATGATGCAATCCAGAGCTGGCCAGGCGACGTTCCCCCCTGACATTTATGGCCCTGTACGGTGTAATTAGCACCCCCTGACATGCCCTGCCCACTCCGACCCCCTCCTGCAGGCTGTGGAGGCGCAGATCCGGAGTTTCGGCCAGACCCCCTGTCAGCTGCTGATCGAGCCGCACCCCCCCAGGAGCTCAGCGATGCAGGTGGTGAGTCATGTGACCGAACACGCGCACACACACCGATACACGGCCCCTCCCCATACTGTGTTTTGGATTCGGGCCGGTTTCCTCATTCCTGTCCTCCTCATCTCCCTCTCTCTTGCTCTCCTCTGCCTCAGCACTGTTCTTCAGAGCCTTCCCCCCTCCCCTCATGTTTTGTCAGAGGGCCGTGGGGTTAGGGGGGGTCAGAGAGGCGGGATTAGTGCCGGGCTGGGGGCCAAGCCGAAACTCCCCGGTGGCACCTGAGCAGTGGCGACTCTGCGAGGAACAATAGGGGCGAGGTGGCAGGCTTTAAGTAGCACCCCACACGGGGGAGAGAGGGGCTGTCAGAGACGAGCCGGTCCCCATTAGCGGGCCGACCCGCCGGCGCTGACAGCTGGAGCCCCGGCTCCACCTGGACCGCTGCCCCCCCTTCCCCCCCGCCATCCGCTGCGGTGGGGGGGGGTCTGTTTACGAAGTACAGCCCTCACTGGCCGGTGGGATACTCCTGCTTGAGTTGGCTTGTGTCGCGATTTTTTTAAGTACACTTAGGAACCAGATGACCTGATGGCCGCCGGACCGCTGCCCATATCAGCTGCGCCTGTCGGAGGCCACTTGAGCGCTCTCGAGTGCCACACGCGCTGCGATACGGACCACAGAGTGGCGCTGGCCCTCCAGACCGGGCTGGGGGGGGAGGGTGTCTCGGGGGGGGAGGCTGTGGAGGTTTGGGGCCGGCAGGTCGTGTGTGTTGGCTTCACAGCTGCCCAGCCTCTCGTGTTTAATTGTTTTCCGTATGTGGGGGCGGCAGGTGTGACTCCCCGGGTTTAACAGTAACGGCAGATATTTGCAGGCCGGACCGGCTCTGTAAAATAAAAGCATATGATTCTGTCTTTTCTAGCCCCCCACCCCCCTGACACCCCCCCAAAGTCTCCTGGCCTTTTCCATAGCTGCTGGAAATAACATTGTCAGAGGAGAGGGTGACATATCGAGGCCCAGGATTTGCCACAATGTGCTTTTGACATTAAGTGCATATTTGCTCTGCTCTGACACACACTTATACGGTATATATGTGAAGAGCACTAGAAACCTTTGTTTTAAAAAAAAAAATGATCTGAGTCAACAGGAGACCATTTAAGATGCACGTTCGTGTCACTGGAAATTCTATCTGCTGAGCCCAGGAGGAACTGTAAAGGCATTTAGGGTTGAGCTCTGCCAAGTGTGATTGGTTGACAAAGCTCAACCAATCTCAGGGCACTGGGAGGCGCTGAAGGCTTGCTCCTGTGTTTTTCTCACATTTAAAACTCACAGACTGTCATTAAAGTGGAATGACTTGGAGTTCAGGCTCCCGTCTTCTGGGACGATTACAGGGAGCTTTGTCTGAATTAGCCGAGTGGCACTGATCAGCAGATGCTAATGTTATTATTTGAAAACAAGAAGAAATGTGATGGGTTTGCCATTCGCCTGCTTCCATCCCTGTGTTCCTCCGTCCAAACACAGGAACTAAGGGCTAAAACACAGCATGTGGCCAAAACCAGGTCTTGGGTGTTGGGAAGACACAAGTGCGGATTCATCAGCTTTTCTGCCCCCTTTTTTGAGCCTTGTGCAAAGAATGAGACTTCTCCCTCCCTTTGAAAATGTTAAAACGTTGGCTGTGTGTTTCTAAGGGTGCAGCTGGATCTCGCAGCAAATCTTTGCAGCGTTGTCATCTCGTGGATTGTGAATTTATTCTAAAAAAAAAAAAAAAAAATGACTGAATGTTACCCGAGTCTCTAACTGTTCAGTCTAACGTGAATGTGTGCACTGCTACCTCACTATCGTTCACTAGTGACCAGCCCCAGAGCCCCAGCCTCTTTCTTTCAGATCTCAGCTCTCTGCACCACCTCTGACTGTGTGTGCTGTACCTTCTACCCTGCCTTTGTAACCTGCTTTTCCCCCTCTCTCTTTCTCTTTCTCTCTCTCTTTCTCTCTCGCTCTCCTTCTTTCCCAAACTCCTCTGCTCGGCTGTCGTTCTCCTCGTCCGCCCGCCCGTCCATCTGGCCCGCTGAACAGTATCTCCTCCTGCAGACGCCGCTGATGTTCACAGAGCAGATGCAGCAGGACGTCATCATGGTGCTGAAGTTCCCCTCAAATTCGCCGGTGGCCCACGTGGTGGCCAACACTCAGCTGGGCCTGGCCACGCCCGCCGTCATCACCGTCACCGCCAACCGCCTCTTCGCTGTCAATAAGTGGCACGGCCTGACCGGTACGAGTCATGGGGGAGGTGCATTCTGGGTAACGTCAACCATCTCTACCACGCCCCATGCTGGTGGAGTTCAAGCTTTGTTTATAAATATGGTTCAGCAGCTGGGTTGGATATCAGCATGTCCCTCAGGTTTGAGATTCCAGCGTTTTGACAGATGATCAAACTGCCGGAAAGCAGCCGATACGAGAAATGTTTGGACTTGACGCCATTTCGGGTCAAGTCTCTGGTCAGGGTAGAACGAACCGGACTTTTACAAAAGAACTGGGCCCCGTTTTACTGAATGGTATCCCTCCGGTTTCTCAGTGTCATTGAGTCGAGATGTTTACCGGGATTGTTTCATCTCTGACGTTGATGAAACAAAGGGAGTCTTGTTTCATAAAGGCTTTGACTGTAATTTAAACTCCAGTAATCTGGAATCTGTTGACTTTGGTGGCATTTGGATCATGTTTTCCCAGCGCCTCGTGTCAAATGTTACGTATCTACCGAGAACCCCGCAGCTTCCCGTCAGCTTTAATACATCAAACCCGGGTGTTTACCTTTTAACCCCGCGTAGTTTTGGGGGAAATCGGACTGTGAAACATTAGGAAACGGCAGTTTAGTTTGCCTTATAGCGAGGAGCCGGAGGTATTGAGCTGTAACAAATTGCAGGTTTGTCTGTGGTGTCTGTCATTGCTTTAATATGTCCTTTAAATTGATATGCGCAGAATCTTAGCTTCACGTATTCAGAATATGGATGACGGATGATTATGCGTGATGGTGGAGATATGGACCTCTCTCGTACCAAGTGTACACGGCCTTGTCTGCTGTGTCCTAGACACGAACTGTAAGATCCAAATAAAGGAATGAATTTGTAGTAGTGATGTTCTGACTTTGTGACCTGTAGGTCAGTTTCGTCCAATACGATTGGTGTCCTCTGACAACCCGAATGCAGCCATGACCTACTCCTCCTTCTTCTCGTCATCCAGGTCCCCAGAGCTCCTCGGCCCAGGACCAGCAGTACCAGCTGCCCGTGGAGATAGACCCCCTGATAGGTCAGTGACGTGCCCCCCCTCCCCCCCCGCGTCTCGGGCCCGGGGTCAGCGGGGCTACAGTTGTCTTTCACTTGTTCTCTGAAGGCTCTCTCGCCAAACCATTTGCATGCAAATTGAAATCCATCGAGCTGTAGCCCAGTCCTCTGTTCCATCAGCACCCCCCCCCCACCTACGGAGGGGACAGTATATGCTAATAATAACAATAATGTGTAATCCAGTGGTAATGGTGCTGGCCCGTTCCATAGCTCTGGTTCTTCGTGGAAGCTGTCGGTTCCAAGGAACCTCGTTTCCACCAGAGTGACCGCCAACACTGAGGTCTTACACTGCCCTTTGAGCGGTGCTCCTCAAACCGGAAGGAGCAAAAACACGGACCGTCTGGCGGTTTCTGAGGTTCCGGGTTGAGAAACACTGCCTTAGGGTTCTGTGCTGGCCTGTAGGCCGTGTCAGGTTGGGATTCCTGAGTGTGCCAGTCTTGAACACAAGCAGAATCTCTTTGTTTTAACTCCCTGAAACATTTTCTCAAAGTAGTCATACTTACCTGCATAGTAAATTTAAGAGACAGGCGCTGTTCACTTTGGGGGGGGGGGTGGCCTACAGGCTGCAATCAGCCCCCACACCTGCTGTTACGAGCTCATGAAGGAGATGGAGATCTGTTCTCCATAGGTCTTCTGGTCTGTCTCCCCTGGCCCGGACCAGGCTCAGTATCTGCTCATGTCATGACCCGTGTTGCACACAAACCTGCAATTCAGCAATTTATGGTGTAATTTATGGCATTGTGGGGGGGGGGTGATTTTTTTTTCCACCTGGTTTTCTGTGGAAAAGGCAACCCTTGTTGTGTGTATTGCTCAACCCGTAGGTCACGCAGGATCAGCAGAGATCTTGCCCAGTGCGCTCGTCTCATACAGACGCGCGGAGGTTAAAACCGGCAGCACGGAGAATCCTGCTGCTTGCAGATATATCACTCCTAGGGTCTGATTTATCAAGCTTTCGTAGCACAGTAAAATTTGCACCTGTTCTTTTTCCTCTTCTGATAAAACCGAATGTTTATTTTATGTGAAATGAAGATGACAAGTAGAATTAAATCAGGGATGGTACAGGGATGGATTTTTTTGCGCCCATGCCAGTGGTTAATAAATCAGGGCCCGGTGCTGTGGTCCGTCTGGCCGGGGTGGGGGGCATTCCTGCCCGGGGCCTCCCCCCTCATCTCTCTGTACCCCTTGTTTGCCTCCAGCCAGCAACGTGGGCACCCACAGGAGGCAGATCAGCGACCTGCTGGACCAGAGCATCCAGGTGCAGACACAGAGCTTCGTCATCACCGCCGACAACCGGTTTGTGCTCGTCTGCGGCTTCTGGGACAAGAGCTTCCGCGTCTACTCCACCGACTCGGGTAATTCCATTACTGCTGGCGTGGGGGGGGGGAGGGGGGGGGGGGGGGGGGGTCAGGGTCACAAATGAGTCTGCCTGGGTTACAACTCCATACGCCACTCTCATCTCAAAGCCATTTGTACCTTTCTGGGGATGTACCCAAGGCTCAGAATTCAATTTCAAAGGGTAGCGCTGTCTGTCTGGGCACTGGGGAGCCTTCTGGAAGGGGGGGGACTGCTGCCCCCCTGGCCTTTGTTTGTGGAATGGAAATACGAGCAGCGGGCAATTACGGCTGGCCCGGGGGTCGGGGAGTGCGGCTGTCCCATTGCCTGCCACTTGATTGGAATGGTTCGCTGTCACCTGTTACCATGCGGTCTCCATGATTGAATTACTTTGTCTCGTGGATTTACAAATGCAGCCCTCCCCCCCCTCGACGGTTAACTCCCCAGGTCACTGTATGTATTCATTCTCCAGTCCACTGTAAGCTAACATTTATTCTGTGGCTTATGATACACAGCATCTGCTCTTAGTAGTGTATGTTGTGGCTCTGCTGTTTTGGACCAGCTATGAAAGGAACCCAGTGCATGAGGAGAGACCGTAACGCTTAGGAAGCTGGGTGGTAAATGATGAAAGAGGCTGTGTGGATGGACTTAATCATCGCTAAAGGGACCACATTGGAAAGCCTGAGGTCCAAAGAGAATTATCTGCAAAAATGCCGTTTGTATGGTCACCAGGGGTCGACATCGACTTGACAACACCTAATAAATAATTTTAAAATACAGAGATACAATATATGCACATGTATACATGTAATACTAATGAGTGTCATATTGCTTGTGTTTTGCTTTGTTCTCCTTTATGACCGACCAGTCAGGGAGTCCCAGTTTAGCTCACTAATTTTCATAGACATGGTCACTGTCACCAGTGTCTGGGCCGTGCGACACAGCTCTGCTCACCAGACCATGGTGATGGCAGGATCCCTGATTTAGTGCTGCATCGACCACTGCACCCGAGGTTCGGGCTCACAGAGGGAAGCTCATCGGATGGACTTGGATAGGCTGGTTTTTTCTTCCCTAAATAAGTGTTTATAAGTAAATTATTTGACAGATCGTAATCATAACAAAGCTGTTAGTTGTTACTTGTAGCCGTTTTTTGGCTGTTTAAACAGTCACCAAAAACAGTGTAATGAGTACAGTGGAGGATTGACTGGCTAATTTTCCCATGACAGTGTGTCTCTGGCCATAAAACTTGGGACTGAGCGTAGAGTTAAACAAAGTTTTTGTTTTCTTGCTGCAGAGCAGTTACTTCCTGTCACTGGACAGGATTTATGAACGTTGTGACATCACCCTAAGTACCGTCAGGCTTTTCCCATAAGACCTTGCATGGGTAATGAAGATATTTTTGAAGCAGTCCGTTCCCAGCACGCATCTCGGATCTCCCTCGGCGCGTTCCGGCAACACCGCGCTCCGGGAGACGTGGGAATAGAAGCGGATCTGTGTTCTGACCCACCGGTACCCACCTCTGTCACAGGCAAGCTGACCCAGATCGTGTTTGGGCACCGGGACGTGGTGACGTGTCTGGCCCGCTCCGAGTCCTACATCGGGGGCGACTGCTACATCCTGTCCGGCTCGCGCGACGCCACACTGCTGCTCTGGTACTGGAACGGCAAGAACTGCAACATCGGAGAAAACCCAGGCAGTGAGTAGGCATGGCCCTGCTCCGCACACACACGCATGCACACGCACACACACATGCACGCACAAACACTGGTTATTACAGCAGATACATATACTGAAATATAAGATATTGAACATGCAGACAAACACGTCACTGAAGTGCAATGAAACCCAAACTCACAATTGTGCTGACAGGCACACACTCGCACTCGTGCTTATCATGCAGACAGCTCTGAGCTCTCAGGAAACTAAAGGACCTTCTTGTAGCCCAAACATCTGGCTGCCGAACAGGTATCAGTGTGTCAGTCTGTGTCTGTCTGTCTGTCTGTCTGTCTGTGTCTCTCTAAACACACAGTGATGTAGGAGAGTTTGATATTGGGGGGGAGACTAAACTTTATAGTTTAACCCTCTCAAGGCAGGCGTTGCTGATTTGCAACAGTTAAAAACTAACTACCTTATTACCCCAGATACATATTTTATGAGTTTTTTTTACTCAAAAGTACCACTGCAGGTCTTGGTTGTCCTTTAGAAACAAAAACTCAATTTGAGCCTGAAAGGGTTAAAAGTAAAGTTCTGTTTTTTTGGAGAACAAATGAATCCAAAACCAGTATTGGGGGTCCTCCCCATCCCCCCTTGGTTCCTGCTCCCCTGTCTGTGTACGTCTGTGTCCCTGCGCCTGTGTGTGCCGGTGACTGTGCTTTCCGCTAAGATACTGTGTTCCTTGGGCCGAGGACACATTGAAGTGTGCCCCCGCCGTGGTATTTTATGCGTAACCGGGACAGAGCGGCCTATATAAGTGGAGGAACGCAAAGGCGTAGCCCTCACTCACTGAGACGCAGAGTCGTGCTTCCCCACCCACCCCGCCGCTCTGCCAGGCTTCCCCAAGACGAGGTCCCACTCTGCACAGCCTGGAACCAACATGGTGACATTGTTTAGCACGACAGATGCTAGCTGTACTATAATAAAAGCACTGCAGCACAGTGCGAGTAGTAGCTGAATTTTGGGTTTTATACCTGGAAGATATTTTCCTGCAGTTGTACCTAAAATGGAAAAAAAATATCCCTGGGATGTGGAGCAGGACGGCCTGTATCTCATTTCCTATTTTTGACCATGTTTCATTAGTTTATTATCCAGGTACTACATTGTGCTGCTGCCGTGATGTCTCCCCCGTCACACTCGGCCAATGACGTCACGTGATTGATGGTGTTTCACCAGAGATGTTACTTAATGCCGCACAACTGCAGTTAATTATAAGGCCTATAGAGCGGCGGAGGCCGCACTCAAACGGAGCGGAGCGTCATTACCGGGGCGAGCACGCGTGTGCCACCGCCTGCACACGCATCACGCCACGCTCTGTGGGGATTCACGCAGGCTCCGATCATGGCTTTGGCTAATTAGTGATGCTGCCCAAAGGAGATCACTGGGATTAATGATTAATTAAAGCTCACAGACCGTGTCGCTGCTCTATATCTGTGCATTAGTCCATATTGCCTCACAGTTATTTTCTAATTTCTTTCTGCTTTTAAAATGTTATTAGTTTTTGCTTCCTGTTGTCGTTGTTATTATTAGTACTAGTAGTAATTATAGGCAATCTTTCCTCTTGGAGTCATATTTCTGCGGATAAAAATGATCAGCTCCATTGTTCTTATAAAGCAATGCATGTCTGATCGGTGGCTGAAAGCTCTAATTAAGGATCATTATTAATTACTCACCGCAGGGATCGTTCCAGTAATCTCAGTTCCGGGAGCCGTGCTCCAGACTGGTTCCGCGCGATGGATCCGTCTCTGGGATCCAGCCGGCCACATTCAGCCTGACATTACTCCGTGTCTCTGTTTCCATTTGACCTTCTCTCCTCCTCTTTCCTCCTCTGCTCCTCTCCTTCTCCTCTGTCAGATCGCAGCGGGCCGCAAGTTTAAGGCCGGATGGATAGAGACGCAGGGAGTGACTTCCTTCTGTCTGCTTGCATATCACGGCCTTTCGGCGCCGTATCTTCAGACAGAAGCGAAGGCCTTTAACATTACAGGCTCCGCCCTCCCGGGGCCTCGTGCGCGACCCCGGTACACGGGCCACCCTGCTCAGCTGGTGCAGCTGATCCGGACACTCGTGTCCCCATCTCCCTGTCACGCTCCGGGGGGGTGGCTAAATCTGTCACCTGCAGGGCAGCACGATCACAATCCCAGTCCTCCGCTTCCACATGGTCACTGTCCCCACACCGGCCCATCTAGAGCATCCTCCTGTGTGTCACCCCGCGATCTATACCCTGGCACTACAGGCCTGATCGCCACAGTGTTTGCGTAGCGGCCTTCCCCCGCTGCCCACTGCGGCTGCCTCCGTACTCCTGGGGGCTGTGTTAAGCGTGAACCCTGAAGAAGGGAGTGGGAATATTCTGTGGACTATGCTGCCATCGTGTGGTCAGAACAGGGAAGGCAGGGATCATGACTTTCACAGCAGTGTAACATTCCTTAGTCCGTATGTAGAATTTAACAAAATGCATATATCTATGATTTTGCATGGTATTGTAATACAATTGTTATAAATTAAGAACACGGCGTTACTGTAAGCAATAACAGAAGATGAATGTCTATCCTTTATTTTAGTGCTGTTAATCTGCCCTGATAGACTGTCTCCGGTTTCCCGCGCCGCGCCTATTAATCAGGCCGTCATTAACCTGCCCTCTTCGCTCTTCCTGCCTCTCCGGCTTCTTTTCCTGTCTGGGTTTGATAAACTGGACCGTCTGAGCCCAGGCCAGTTCCAGGGGCTCCAACGAGAGCCTCGTTTACATGCTGAATAATTAACGCCTGCACTGCTTTCCTCCCGGAGCGAGGGGCGGCAGGAACTTCGCCTGCCCACCCCTTCACCCCCCCCCACCCAGCCACGAAAAATGATACTCGCTCTCTCGGATCGGTACTGTGGGTATATAGGTATTAGATTGTAATCAGATGTATCCTTAATGCAAGCCACGTGTTGGCGAATAGCTGCAGGTTAAATGATACACCAATATATTACTTTTATTGATCTTTTTCTACAGAAATGTGACTTCATGCCTTAATCCCCAAAGCTGTAAAATTGCAAGTCGGGGGGTTTAAGCGGTGGAGATGTCGAGCAGCAGCGACATCCTCATTAGATCCGCGGAGCTGGGTCCGTTTCCCGGCTCGTCCTCATTGGCCCAACGGAGACGTGACTTTGATACAGAGTTGAATATAAATGATGATTCTGCGTCCTGGTGGAGTCTCTTACACTGAAAGATGGGGCCAAAGTAAAGGGCCGAAGCACTTTTCAACCTAGTGTTGGCGTCTGTTGGGCAACAGATAAAATGACAGATGACAGCGAATGATTAGCGGTCCGGTGGTATGAATGACTTGAGGACGCTAAAAGGAGCCCAAGAGGGCAGGCTCAGGTAGAAGGCTCAGGGAATGTGCAGGGAATGTGCAGGGAATGTGCAGGGAATCCGGACAGCCAATTGTAGCAGCCCGGGGGAGCCAGTAGACGGGCCTCGTCTGGGGCACTGGCTGCCCCTCTGCCTTTTTAAAGTCCACGGGGTGTGTAACGGATGCCGGTACTTTTATCCAGTAAAGCGTGTACATTTGGGTTCGTCTGCTTTTAGAGGCGTATCCGAGGTGTAAATCTCCGTGTCGCCCCCGCTGTGCGAGGAGCCGCGGGGTCCCGGCGAGCCCTACATCAAACGCGTCGGGAATGACACTGCGCTCCGGCGTTCCTGCCCAATGGGATTCAGTGGAATAAGCTTAGATGGAAGAAAGTGAGACTTTACACAGCAGGAGTTACACATAACAAAATATTCTACGCTTAAATTCACCATAAAATAACCAGAAGACACACACAACATGGCCAAAAACAATCTTAAAGTGTATTAAAGTACAATACAAAGCCTTTGATGTTCTTGTGAGAGCGGAACCAGCCTGTTTTATTAGTTATTTTTTTGCTCCCTTTTCAAAGTGTATTCCTGGGTTTTTCCCTGACTCATACTGGGAAGCTGCTCCTTTTACACCCATCTGCTACACCCATTCCTGGCCAAACTGGGTCTTTTCCAGTATAATAAGGCCCACAGTGCACAGCCAGGACCTGCTGATGAACTCCTAATGAACTCCCATGCTGGCCCACAGAGGCTCGTTCCAGTCGGGCCTGTTCCTCGGATCAGGGCTCGCTGGAGTTCCCTACTAAAATGAGACTGCTGTCCCTGCGTGCTGCGTCTACTGCCCCCTAGTGGTGTGAACTTGAACAGAGCATCACAAAGGTGTGGAACCTCAGGAATGCTCTTTGTATCCAGACTGCACTCGAGGTTCAACGCCAGAGCTGAGCTCACGGAGGGGGTCCTGGTGAACCCTGTAGAAAAGTCACTACTCGTGCATATCCCATAACCACGTCTGCAGCATTACACATGCACCTGCATCAATTAATGCAGTTTTGTGGGCTCAGTGTTGTTTGGCTGCCCCCTGGTGGCCGCACACTGAACTCATCAGCCCCTGCAGAGTAGCCTGTGTCAGGCTTAGCTGCACACAGCCCCCATTAGTTGAGTAGCACTAACCCCGCTGTGTCCCATGTGCAGCCGAGTTTGTGACTCCCCGCGCCATCCTGACCGGCCACGACTGTGAGATCACCTGCGCCAGCGTCTGCGCAGAGCTCGGCCTCGTCATCAGCGGCTGCAAAGGTGAGCACCCAGGAGGACTATGCATCCAGAAGCTTGTTGGCTCAAATCCCAGTAGAGGAAAAGGCTGTTGCATCCTATAGGATTTTCTTAACCTGATTGGCTTTCCTAAATTACTAGCTGTCTATTTCAGTGTTTCCCAATCTGGTCCTTGGAGCCCCATAGATGGTCCACGTTTTTGCTGTGGACTGTCTGGCAGAGTTGGGGGGGGGGGGCAAAAACATTGCCCGACTGTGGGTCCCCCAGGACTGGGTTGGGAAATGCTGGTCTAGAGGGCTAACTTGGTATATCCTATGTTGGTTTAGTTACTGATGAATAGTATTTACGGTAATTAAAGTGTAGTAAGGACAGTATTGTGAAGCCCCGATTGGTTAGCATTGCTGTGGGCGACGCTAACAGCTCGCTTCGCCCCGGTTCTGCAGAGGGCCCGTGCCTGATCCATTCCATGAACGGAGACCTCCTGCGTACCCTGGAGGGTCCAGCGGGGTGCGAGCGGCCTCGGCTCATCCAGGCGTCGTCGGAGGGTCACTGCGTGGTCTACTACGAGCGCGGCCATTTCTGCCTTTTCAGCATCAACGGCAAGGAGCTGGGCCTCATGGAGGTGGAGGAGAACGTGAGGGTGAGCTCCTGCGGGGGGGTGCCACCAGGGTGCTGAGGGATGGAACAGAGGCAGCGACACACGTCAGAGCCCAGTGCTGAGGCGTGTTTAGATCTCAGCTCTGGGGGGGCGGCCGCTGATGATGGCTGTTGTGTCTGTAAGCCAGTAACTGAGCATTAATAACGACTGCGGCATCCAGGAAGGGAGACCTCTGCTGTAATTCTCCTGATTCCCTTTTTAAACAGCCACTGCTTCCGGGGGGGGGGGGGGGGGGAGTTCCTGACAGTCTGTCAAACACGGCGGGGCCCTGTGGAATCTCAGTCCGGCCAGGCCCTGTTTTTAGGCTGAGCGGAGGTGGGGGTGGAACCGTTTGCGCCTCAGCCTTAAAGGATCTGGAACTTTCTCCCTCCATAGCCGCCACCCCCCCCCCCCTCACATTTCCGTTACCGATCGTCTCTGCACTCCATCATGCGGGCCATGATTAAAGGCTGCCGTGTAGGCCACGTTCTGCCTGCCCTGGGGCGCTTGGGGGTCCGATCCAGTGGATCTGGGCGGGGCCAGCGGGGCTCCCACGGCCCTTTGATTCCGATTTTGGATGTCGGGTCAGGTTCGGGGAGGGGGGGGGGTGCTTCCCCTCAGCCTGGGAAAACTCTGGGGCTTCATCACACCTGCTTTCCATTTAGCAGGACAGCCCGGACGGTTATTTCAGTGACCGTCCACTGCTTGGCGTTACCAAAAAATGCGAGTCCTACAGGGTGGGAGTGGGGGGGGGTGTCATTTTCACAGTTTGTTTGTTTATGTGCTGCAAATGTACCACCCGATCAAGGTATTTAGCAAACTATTTATTTAGCTGCGACCTGGAGGTGTCAAACAGGATTCCCCAAGGCCCAGCAGGACTTCAGAACCAGATCCAGCCTGCTGCTCTCCCGCAGGAGCCCCCCCCCACCCCCAAAACGCCGTGCCCTGCTTTAATCTTGGCTGGAAATCCGTCTGGAGGCCCGGAGTCGCACTCATTTACTTGTGAACGTTTCAGCGGATTATATGTGCGAAAGCTCGCGTGTGTTTTTCGGTGAAGCTGAATTAATGGCACGCAGAATCTGTTCAGCCTCACCGGAAAATACCGTCAGGGTTAGAGGGGCGTCTGGCAGCAGGAAGCACGTTTTGTGGTCCCCTCAGGTGCCTGCTTGTGTCACCAGGGGCTGCCTTCAGACACCCGAGGGGCGGGGGCTCACGCCCTCGGGCGAGGAACGCCGGCTTGCGGTCCATGCTGACCCCAGCGGGGGTTTAACTCAGAGGTCTGCCCATAAGGGACCGGGGGGGCTGTTCTCTCACATTGTGAAGGGGTACAAAATCCATAACTGAAAGACTCCCCCCACCATACTTTTTTGAAGGGCTGTTTAAGTGGGTTATTTTCTTACTGTGGCCGTGGGGTAGCTCTGGCCTTTATGCGCTGCAGCGATTTCCACACGCGGTACCCCGTGTAAGACGTTACCACATACAGACGCAGCCGTGCCGTGCCGCGCGGCATATGGAATCGCGATCCCCACTGGCAGCCGATCTGAGGGAAAAGGTTCTGGAGATTGATAGGTGGCCGTCGTGCCGGCGAACGCAGCGCTAAGCTCCGGAAAACAAAGACGGCTCGTGCGGCAGGGCGGGTATCGCAGCCGGAGCGCGGTGTGGCATGTGTCCGGCTCCAGTCGAGCCCCTCCTGCTTTTTTTTTTTCCCAGAATCCGTCTGGGTACGTTAGATCTCTAATGAGGAACAGTTACGGCACTTGCGGCAGCACCGATTTTTCCAATCATCATGCGCGTTCTGAAGATGCGGTGTCTGGGGCCATGTGTTATTCCGGGGGGTCGTGGGGGACCCCTTAAATTGTAATGCATTCCTTATGAGCACAAGTAGACCAAAGAAACGAGGTTCAGTTCCCACCAACCCCTGCTGCATTTGCAGAAGTCCTCTGCGTTTGATTGGTCAGCTGAGAAGGGGTCTCGCGAAGTGATTGGGTCCCGGAGCTGGTGACTGGGGAGTGATCCTGGGTAACTGTGCTGCTGTGTGTTTCCCCCCCCCACAGGCCATACTGCTGAGCCGGGACGGACAGTACCTGCTTTCGGGGGGTGATGGAGGCATCCTCACCGTCTGGCGGGTCCACGACCTCAAGCCGCTGTTCACGTATCCCGGCTGTGACGCAGGCATACGCTCTATGGCCATGTCACATGACCAAAGGTAAGCCATAGCCTTCTGTCACATGACACAAGCAGGACAATCTGAATGCCAATTGCAGGTCTCCTCCACAGTGTATCATGTGAATCTCTGTCCCCCTGCACAGGTGCATAATCACAGGCATGGCCTCCGGAAGCATTGTACTGTTTTACAATGATTTCAATAGATGGCACCACGAATACCAGACCAGATACTGACTTCTGAACGGCATGGTGTTGCCGTGGCAGCGGACACGTACATCCTGCCATATGATGTTAAACGCACTACTCTATACACACTGAGTTGCTGAATGTATCTAAAATTCTGTCGGAAGAAGCAGACTATTTTTAAACGGGCATTGCTATATTTTGTAGATTCTGTTAAATTTCATATATTGAAAACTTGGGGCTGGGTTATATAGCTATAAAAACAAATCTATTTTTAGCTGTAAAAATCTATTTTCATCTCTGTGTGAGTTAAGGGTTTGAGTGGTCGATAGTTAGAGAATTATATTTGCGTCGGCTGTCTTTAAAAATTTAAAATCCATATATTTGTGTATCTGGGGAAAGTGATTTTGCTGTGTCATACAGGGTAGATGGAAATTTTAGTTTGTTCGTTTTACATTCACTTTATACTTCTGTCTGCGACTGGAGGCTTCTCTGTGACAGCGATACGCTGGTGTGTGAAACAGACTGGCCATCTCCCGGGTGATGTCACTCCTGAGTTATATGGGATTTCTGTCCCGCATCCATTACTGCTTGGGGTTTTGGTTTCCATTCCCTTATTTTAACTTCATAAATATTCAGTATACCTCCAGGTATCTGATAAAATCCGATAAAATTCGGTATGAAGTCTTAAGCTTTAAGGAGGATAAAAACATAATCGATATGAAAGTGCTATTTAACGACAATTTACATGTTAGGAATGATGGAAACTCGATGAAGGACGTGACCAGTAAGCAGCTACTCGGCGTGGTAAATTATCAGCAAGAGCATAGTGTAAGCATAGTCAGGGCTTCTCCTGTTTCTGAGCTGCTGAAATGTCTGGAAACCCCCCCCCCCCCTCAATTTTTTTGCCGTCCACAAAACAGGCTTTCAGCAAACTTCAGCATCAAAGCACATTCTGATGGCCCCACATTCAAACTCTTGTTCCAAGTAGTAACATTCATGCAAGCTTTGATTGACAGATAAACATTCCCTATCAGCTTTACTGCATACATACAGGGGCGGGGAAAGGAAGTGCTGTAATTTTATGTGTAATCTGTCATGGAAACCCATTCAGAATGATTCTTTTCACGTGTGATGAGTTGAAACAATAAAATGAAATTTGTAACTCGACGTGGTCCTTCCATTGCCTCAACGGAGTTGCCAAGTGAGGGTCTCAGTTATCAGACCCGCAACGTGATGCGTCTCATCAAGAGCGTTAGAGGCAGACTGGCTGCTGAGTGCTGGCGCCCTCCAGTGGCAAGAGTCAGAATTTCCACATGGGACTGGGACGTCTTTCAAAGGCTGAAATTTATTGCATTTTCACTGAAGTTGCCAGATTATTACTTCTATTACAAAATGAAATGTTACGTTAAAACTGACAAGGAGGTACAGCAAACGGCCCACCCCAAAGCGCACTATACACACCATTGGGCTGAATGAAAGTCCAACCCCTCCCTGCCTGTCCCCCAGTTGTATTTTACTCTCGCCGTACAATCAGGGTTAGCCTGCACGTTGAGAGGGCAGAGGAGGTCCCGTCAAACCGAGCGTCACCAGCTCCCCTTGGAGCAATGTCAGCAGTGATGCATTCTGGGAGCTGTGCTGACGGGGAGGGAAGTCGAAGGAGAGACCATGCGACGGTTGGATCTTCTACCAAGTGTGGGCACCCTTGAAACCCAGGTCTGACCTAAAAAGCAGGTCTGACCTAAAAACAAACGTGGAATAAAAATAGGCCCTGGGCATCTTTACGTCGGGTTTGTGGAATGCTATCTTGTCTGCCTAAGTACGCTTTAGTGCCGCTTCTGGTTCACAGGGGCTTGTTGATCCAGCTTGCCTGGGCCAAGAAGGAGAGGAAGCCCCCCCCCCCATTAATCATCATCTCCGGCAGGCTGAAGAGTCTCTTTCGGTACAGAGTCCTTAAGATGACCTGCTGGTCCAGGTTGATCCAAGAGGCACCCAGTTCCTTATTGTAGATTTCCTCCTGCAGCATTTCATATTTCCAGGCTTAAATGATGTGTGTCTATAGTAGCTTATCTTAATTCCAGCAATAAAACATGGATCTACACAATAATTCATGGCTAACACACATGTACCAACCAGTCACAGTTTCAAGAAAACAATAAATAATGAGAAATTGAAAAAAAACAGTTTAAAAGCCTCTATGAACTCAGCACCTGTCGTCTTCCATATGTGTGCATATACAAATTGGTATATATACACATATATACAGCCAGCAGAACCTTCTGAAAATAACCTGCCTTTCAGAGCACAGTGGATGATATCTAATGGTCGGCTTTGCTGTTCAGCAGCGATGAAATAACTGGAATGAAATATGTATCCCCTGCATAAAACTTGTAAGAAGCAGTTTAAGTTTTTCCTGCTTCTACCCCGCGCTCCGAGTTTGCCGAGTCGGGGAGTGGGTCGGCAGCGAAGGCGGGGGGCTGTGGTGAGACCGTGGAGGGGGCGAGCGGGGGGGGCACGCCACGGACATCTGGAGACCTCTTGGTGAGCAGGATCTTCTTATCTAGAGCTGTGTTCTGCAGAGCAAAGTCGGAGCAGTGGGGGAGACATATTACAGTGAAGAAGAAACCAAAATGGCTGAATGGAGGAATTCGGGGGGTGGGTGGGGGGGGGGGAGTGGGGATTATAGTAGATCAGAGGGTCAACAGGAAGGCCCGAAACTCCGCACCCACCCTGCCTGTTAGCCCAGCAGACATGGAGAAGAGGTGACTTTATGACAGGGCTGAGGGTGAGCGTGCGTGTGTGTGTGTGTGTGTGTGTGAGAGGGGGGGGGGGGGGTCATGTGCCTGTGGACACGTGATGAGGAGTTTGTCTGGCGCACGCCAGCAAGGCGTCGCTCTTCGCCACGGCAACCGACTGGCAAGCGGACCACGATCTCAGCATGCAGCATGGGGAGGGAACAGAAGACATCCTCGCTTTGCCACAAGGCCTCAGGTCTCCAAGCGAGACGTGTGGATGAGTGTGTAAGCATGCAGGTTTACCCCACCCTCCCACACACACACACACACTCTGGCGTTAAGTGTGTTACTGACTCGCAGACAGATGCAGTGCAGTGAGTGAGTGGGCTGTTAGTACATACCATTGCCTTGGAGCTAATCAGAAGTAGCAATGCAGGCGTTTGGACGAGGAACAGGGAGGAGGCAAAGGGGACAGAGACTAGTCTTACTAAAAGCAGAACAGATACAGTTCACACATCGTACGTACATTTAAAAACACACTTCTCAGGCCTGAGCCCTTCAAAACCCCCTATAAACCCAACAAGGCAACACGTTGTCTTTCAAGCTGGGGCATATTGCATTTTTGATTTAGACTAAAGCAATTTTGTGTCCAAGGCAATATATATATATTTATTTTATTTTTTTTGCGTCAATCTCCATCATCTTTATCGTGGTTTTACAATTGTTGTAATACAACAGTTAACCACAAGATGGCACCGGCGTTCCACTTCTAAAACCATTACTTCCGAATGTGGCAACCAATCGGTTTAATCTACCACATATTCAAACTCGTGAGGAATTTCAGAAACAGACTGACGAATTAAATTTTGTGAATTGCAATTCACTCATAAGTGCCATCTGAAGAATCCACTTGCGACCAGAGTAACATTAATATTAGCATGACAAAGTGACAGAGAGAGGCAAACAGACATGAATCCTTTCAGTAAGCACAGTCTCAGCAACCGCACATGCAGAATACACCGCCCGGCAACAAAAAGCACTTAAGACAAATGAAAACTAGCAGATAAACACGGTTATCCGAAGCAGCACAGTGTAGCAAAAGATGCGTCCACAATGACTTGTTAATGGTGCTCGATGGACACGGCATGACAGAGCGAAGGCAGAGGTGGAAGCCTGAGAGAAAGAGGAAAGGGTGGCGGGCCTCGTACCCGTGGGCCGCGGGACAGTTAGGGACAGTTAGGGACAGTTAAGGGCTCCATGTGACCCGCCAGTTAGCTCAGTTTGTCATGTACCCCAGGGTTCGTCGGCGAGCTCCTCCTGCCGTCCCGGGAGGGCGGGGGTGTGGGGGGGTTTCGGGGAGGAGGGGAGGGGGGTGCGGTGCGGTGCTTGTCGCTCCCTCTACGCTACAGCAATGAGCCTCCAGTGAGGGCCCCTCCCTTTGCCGGGTCGCTCGCGAACGAGCTCCAGCCTGCCCCCTACTGGCGGGAACGACATTCTTACTGCACTGGGTTACAAACCAGATTCAACTTTGTGAGCAGTGAGAAGGGGGGAGGGAGGTTCCAGGGGGAATGGGACACTCGAGGGATTTTAACAGGACACACATCCTGGCCAGTCTCCACATGACAGGAAATTAATAATCGGAGGTTGGCGCAAGGCACACTTGAGTCACAGCAAAAGAATTACTGTTTAAATGTGGAATATATTTCCGGGAATTTCTCTCTGACCAGTCACATCCAGAGACCACCAAGAATATTCTACACCATTCTAGAAACATTAACACTGGGTCAAAGATCAGAACACTCATAACTCCAGTGTGAATCAGCCTGACTACAGCTTTCCCGGTTCTTCATAACTGTGAAATTATGTGTGATTCGTTCCAAAAAATCCAAACGTGTCTGCTGTATAGATACGCCAGTTTGTTAAATGGCATCCACAAGGTGCAAGGAACCCCACAACCCCAGCAAGAACTGGCACTAAACCAGCATCTTCTGGGATGTTTGTTTGACCAAAACTTTCATTCAATGCCCCCCAGTTCAGAAGTTGATGTGTGGAACCACAGCGAGGGTTTGCAGCGTTACAGCCGAATGTATGATGCTGTGTGTCTGATTTATAGCTGCAGGGAGAGATGGACACGGTGTGAGATGATGGGGCCCAGAGAGCCTCGGTCCGTGTGCTTACCATGATCACGGACACTGCGGCCGTGGTGCTGTTGTTCTCCTTTAGTGACGTATTAAAGTGCTTCTTGAGTTTACCTGTCACCTCCACCTTCATGTTGTTCTCCATCGCGGCGTCTTCCTGCAGGCCACACAGCTCACAGGTGAAACACAAACATCCCTGAGGCTTGAACAGCACCGGTAGACAGACAGCCAGATGTGTGTAGGGCAGGAAAAGCCACTAAATGACTCAGAGTCCCTGTTAAACGCACACGGTGTGTGCTTCGTCTGTCTGTGCGTGAGCGATTAGCTTCTGCTGATGGGGGAAAAAAAAAAGTTCACTTACGGTGACCCAGGGGTGCGAGAGGACCTCCTCGGCCGTGTAGCGGGCCTCCACGTTCACCTGCAGCATCCGGCCAATCAGCTCCTGGAAAAGGCCAGCGTGTGACTCAACGGAATCACCTCCTACTCTCGACCAGCGAATCCGCGACAGCGCCTCTCCGATTCCTCACTGACTTGTCTTATGGGATTTGTTAGTAAAAGACAGGCATGTGAGAGAACCAGAGTGGAGTCTGCTCTTGATTCTCTGACAGTCTACAAAAAGTGGTATATTTGGGATCCTGTCTATCCGTCAACCCACTCGCCACAGGCCGCCTCTAACTGATGCCTCTGCAAAGATCAATGTGGACCCGGCTCTGAGCGGTCGTCATGGGAATGAGGAGGTCTAGGGCGCACCTTGGCCGAGTCGGTGATGTTGTCCCAGTACGGCGAAGGGAACTCAAGCTGGCCCAGCAGGATCTGGTCGAACAGGTCGTCCTGAAGGTTGTTCTCGCTGTTGAGGAGAAGCGCAGGCTGACACTCTGCTCAAAAGACACGTCAAACACGATCTACACAGACACACCCATAAGCTGCCCTTGATGACCCCCAGCTGCTTGCATTCAGAGCTCTGAAGCCACATTCAAGGACATACAAGTAGAGAGTACAGTACAGACAGTGAATGTCTGTACTGCACTGAATGAAGACTGAGACAGGAGAACCCATCAGTAAGCAAGGACCCTGTTCATACACTGACACAATACAAACCATACATATGATGTCATGTTCCTATAGTGGTGACCGTTTTAGATTAGATTCAGCTCCATTGTCATTTTGCTGAGTACAGGTAGGGGGCCAATGAAATGCGGTTAGCATCTAACCAGGTGCAAATTAAATATATGCAAATGTAATAAATTGTAAAGAAATCTGAATGCAAGTGTAAATTACGGTTCTGCGCAAAATATGCACGAGAGAGTCCACAGCAAAAGGTGCAGACTGGAAGGACAGCGGGAATGATTGCGGCAGGAAATTTGATGAGATGCAAAGATACAAGTGAAACATACAGTGTGCACAATGGGTATTTAGTGCAAATAAACCAGTGTTCAGTTAAGGCACTAAGATGGCGAATCAGGCTGTAGCTAAACCAAATTAGACAGAAAATCTGGTGCTCAGACTTTTCAAGGGGCAGGTGCTCGAACAGGGGTATGTGGCTAACTGGTACTTTTTGCCTTGGGGGGGGGGGGGCGGGGAGTCATCCCCTTCAGCAAATTTTCACGTTAACTACATTTTCCCCTTTGTCGATTACAAGCTGCACGTCACTGAGAATAACTATGCTGCTCCTAGAACCAGGGAGACCATTTCTGTGCCAAAAGAGGTCTAATCCGCCGCTTCTAGCAGTGACTCCGCGACTGACACAGCTGTGTGGCATAGAGAGACGTCCCGGTTCTGGAAAGCTGCTGAGATCAACAGCATCACCCACACCGGCCCCTGTCTACCTGAGGAACAATGCTGAGGTTTCCGGACAAATGGGTCACTTAAACACGCTGCTTTAAGGTTCCCCGTAACAACGCTGTTCTGTGTCTTGGGAAACACACAGGATCATAATGAGGTTCTGGGTCCCAGTCAACCCTCTACTGTTCTAAACCAGGTAGGAACCAAATTAGTATTTTATTCCGTAAAAAAAAAAAATAAATTGCCGCATAAATAGATCTGGCTGCACAGGCTGTTTCGGATACTCGTGTCGGCAAGCATGACCCGGTATCGTGCTCACGTGACCCCAGAGGCTGCCAGACCTGGCGGGCACAGAGTGACACCTGCAGGCGCGGCAGGGTGGTGCAGCACAGGGGCGGAGTTACCTGCGGAACGGGGGGAAGCCGCACAGCAGGATGTAGGTGATGACGCCGGCCGCCCAGACGTCCACCTTTAAGCCGTATCTGTGGAAGCGGAGAGTGAAGCAAGCGATCTGTCTGGTAGACGCCGCCGGCATGGTGTCCTTTCCAAGTGACACGGACAGTCATACGCCGATGAGCAAGAACGAACAGACCGTCCCGGCTTCACTGCCTCGAATCCGTGCTGAATCCCTCTTGATTAATTATGCCTGTTTATGTCCTATTTAATGCATGTGATGAGGCAAGATACCCCATCCATCCCCCGTACAGGCGCTCAGGCTCACCCAGACTCGGCGATGATCTCGGGGGCAACGTAGGTGGGCGTCCCACACACGGTGTAGAGGGGCCCCTCCACCACCGTGGCCAGGCCGAAGTCTCCCAGTTTCAGGGACTTGGTGCTGTCACTGTACTCGCAAACCTACAAGAAAAGTGGCGGGGCTTAAGGGCAAAGCCGTCACAGACCCCCTTCCTCTCAAAATGGCACCTTCCGCCATCGGATTTGTCTGTTTCTCAGGGGGCTTCCTGTTTTGCATAAGACCTGCAGGATCAGATCCAGAAGTACAGCCCTCGAACTAGGAGAGGAGCTATAGCAGTAAAACTCGAGCAAAAGCTGTCAACCTGCCGTCCTTTAAAGCGGAGTCGGTTATTACGGTTTCAGAATGTGGCAATACTACTTCTAAATGGGTTTGACTGGGCTCTGTACTTTACCCTAATTTCTATCATTCTGACCCAGTATTGCTGCTTATCAGAAACACTGCCTGAATAAACTCTGTACCAGTAAGTTACTGACCAATGTCATCCTCTCACAGAAAATGACTCATGCTGAGACACCCCATTTTACAAATAAACTACAGTGCATTTCTCCACTCCATGTACTAGATAAACATCTAAACTGGATAAGTGGATGTTCTCTGAGATCCTTCGAGGGCCTGCCATGTTGATCAATGGGAAGGCCCGTCTGATGCACCAGGGATGTGTGATCAGTGAGAAGGCCCGTTTGATGCACCAGGGATGTGTGATCAATGGGATGGGCTGCCTGATGCACCAGGGATGTGTGATCAGTGAGAAGGCCCGTCTGATGCACCAGGGATGTGTGATCAGTGAGAAGGCCCGTCTGACCGCCACCCACCAGCAGGTTCTCCGGCTTGATGTCCCGGTGCACGATGTTCATGCTATGCAGGTACTTCAGGGCGCAGGTCAGATTGTTCACCATGACGCTGGCGTCACGCTCCGTGTATTTGGTGGAGGAGGTGATGGCGTCGAAGAGGTCCCCACCCTGCCGAGGAATATGGATCAGAGCCAAGCTCAATCGTATTCAAGGCTGAACCCAATTGGCTCGTTCCTGACACACTTGGCCTATAAGGGAGACGCATGCATGGTGCTGCCACTAAGTAGGATGGTAGGTTTACACGTGCAGGTGGTTTGTGGGAAATAACCCACGAGTCTAGAAACAAGCCCCTCCCCCACCCCGAGACACACTTTGACGGTCAACAGGCAGACCCACCTTGACCAGCTCCATGACCAGGTAGAGCTCGCTGGACGTGTCTACCTCCTCGATGAGCATGATGATGTTGGGGTGTTTGACCCGTCGAAGGACTGCAACCTCGTTCTCGATCAAATGCTCCTTCATAAATCAGACACGACCGTCAAAAGGTCAGTGATCACACACTAACTATTTCAAAGGTCTTAATGCATCAAAAATGTAGCGTGGGTATTTTTCCTAAAATTCTTACTGGAGAAATGAATTCCTTAAAATGCCAATTCAAAAATAAAATATAACTGACTCACAGGACTGTCATTGAGGGTCGTTGAGATATTAATGTCATCTAATTTAGATCAAGATTTTGACATTAAAGTTCTGGTTCACCAAGCCTCCAGCTGAATTCTCCAAAACAAGTTGTTCCAAGAAAAATCTCATGTTTCCTTTGAAGTTGTTTTTTCCTCCCGTAAAAAGTGGAGACTGGGTGTCTTTCTGCAGATGTAGCTGTTCTGGGCTTAACTGGGGGGGGAAGGTACTTGCAATTTGGGATATCACAGTATCCTAGAACCACACTGTGCAAAGGTCGCTCAGAAAAAATAGTTATCGATTGTTTGGGTCCTCAGACAAATGGGAGACGACTCGGTAAGAAATATTTGGAGGCTGCTGCCCTCAGGGCAGGCTTGTTATGCGGTACACCTTGAGGAACCGGGGAAAAACGAATGCCAGAAATGTCACACTCAACCCGAGAAGCCTCGGAAATCGTGTGTTGTGCCTGGTAATAGTTTTTAATCATATTTTAAACCCGGCACAGCTGCCACCTACCTTCCCAGCACACTTGGCCTTGTCTATGATCTTCAAGGCATATTCCTTTCCTGTGCACCTGCCAACAAACATTTTGCAATTATTGCCACATCGTGGTTCTCTGACAGCCTGGGAGACACACTGTGTTTACGTGGGCTTGCTGAGCCAGGCGGCTTTGGCTGCTCTACTCCCCGGGAAGTTCCGTGCTGCTGGAAACCTGACAAACGTCATGCGCCGTCATGCCTCGCCGCCTCTTTCGGCCTTATTAGTCTGTAACCTGCTACAAATCTCTAGACCTTACTCCCGAGTAGAATCCACGCTCACTCACCGCTCCACGCATTCTTTCACGACAGCGAAGTTTCCGTCCCCGATGACTTTCCCCACTTTGTACTTCTCCAGGATTACGGAGGAGGACGGACCTTTGTTCCCATTCACTGTTGGCGAGAACCTGGTTATAAAACGGTCCGGGGAACCACGTGCTACTGAAATAGAGGGTTACTGAACGGCACAATGTGCAGGACATCAAAAGCCCACGGTGGATGGCGTCCTGAGGGCAGTGCCATCTCTGCACTTGCTGAAGATTAACTAACGTTCAGGCAACCCCAAAATCCCAACAGCAATCTGACAAAATGACCCATTTTTAATGACATTTAGAGAAACGGCCAAAGTTCATCAATCTCAGCAAAAGACTCTTTCAGACCAGCACTGACAACCAGCCCCACCTCTCTGTACACAGGAGCTCCGTAATTGGGGGAAAGAGAGGATGATACCAAGGGCTACTAAGTGAGAGGGGCCCTAAAAAATCTGGAACATCTTTGAATTGGCCTGGGTTAGGGTCCCAATGTAATACCCAATATAATATGCTCTGGCTGGACCCTCTGTCACCCTGGAGATGTACCGCGGGCTTCGACCACAGACCCGACCCGGCTGCGGCTCACCTTCTGGGCTCACGCTCCTCGTGAGTTCTGCGGCCCCGTTGATGTTTGACGCCGAGCTGTAGTGAGGAGGAATCTAAAAAGTGAGAACACCCACATGTCAACGACAGGGTTAGCATGAAGGACAAGATCTCACCGTACGTCTCGACTCTATTGTCACCTGGCGGAACTTACACCCATTTAATGCTTGTCTCTGGATACAAAGTAATTCAGCGTTTCTCAACCCAGTCCTCTGGGACTAGATGACACACTGAACCAGTCAAGAACACCGAGCTGGGAGGGAGGGAGCAAAAACGTGGACTGTCTGGTGCTCTCTGAGGTCCGGGTTGGGAAACACTGATCTCATAAGACACCTGAGCATTTCCCTGGACATTCAATCATTGGTTGCAATGGCGCACTGCTTATTCCCAAACACTAAAGAATCCCTCCCTCTCCAAAAAAAAAAAAAACAGCCCCCTGTTCACACCCAGTGTTCATACCGCTTAGGAAAAGTCCGACACCACCCCACCCTGGAACCCGAATCCGCCTGGAACAATTCATTCCGACAGGCTAAGCTGCTCATTCTAAGCTGCCTCTGATTCTGTTTGTTGACAGCAAAAAAGCCAGACGCTACAGAATCGAGAGAGGATTCCCACTGCCGTGATCTGCTAAGACAGGCAGGCTCGGTTAGGGTTACGCACTCCACATTAGCCAGGCGCTAACGCTGCCAAATGTCCTAGTCCGAGGAAAGAGATCCTAAGAGGATCCTGAGGAAATCTGGGTGGTCGGATTGAGGTCCATTTCCTCTCTGTGACAACAATGAGTTTCCCACTTTTGTTTCACTCACAGAGCTTATCTCAGTGTCACGTCATGTTTCTGGGAGACACGGTGGCTGCCACCGCCCCCCTAGTGGCCTCACCTTGAAGGTGCGTAAGCTCCGTGGGCTGGTGGGGGAGGAGCTGGAGGATTTGGTGGACCTGGGCGTGGACATTTGGCTTCCGGGGGTCCCATTGACTGGAGATAAAGGGAAGGAGGGGTGCACAATGATTAGGAAGGCAGCCAGGAGGAACAGGCAGTCAGGAGGAACAGGCAGCCAGGAGGAACAGGCAGTCCTGGAGGAAGCGGCTTTCACGGGACGCCGGCCGACACATCCAATCTCCCGCCTTCGCCGTCTTTGTTTCGCTGTGTTTTCGTTGTGTTTTTTTTTTTCTCCCCCTCATCAAACGGCGATTCCTGTAGCACGGTATTGCACTACAACTTCTTTTGTGCCGTCATCCTCGGTAGATTCATCCCGTTACCCGAACAAGTACAAAAGAGGTGGAATTTTTCACTGGGAGGCCACGTCTCGGCGGAGGTCTGCGAGTTCAAGGACCCGGAAAAGCCTCTGTTGTACTTGGCCTGAATTGCTTTGCTACTATTTTTTCAGCTGTATAAATGGATAAGGTTTAATAATTAGGCTTAAAAATACTATGTGTGTTGCCATGGATGGTGGCACTTTCTGTGCCCCTAATTGCTAAAACGTGCAATAGCTGACATTTTTATCCAGAGTGATTTATTTTTAACCCGTTTATACAGACCAAATCAGGTTAAGTACTTTTCTCTGCAGAAGTACAGTGGCCCTATCCTGGGACTTGAACCAATAACCTTCGGGCCGATATCCATAATGCCCATATCGTTAATGACTTTGCTACCTTCTGATCCCAGGTAAATGCGCTGCAGTTAATCGACTGGGTCTTCAGTGCATCACAGCCTAGAATTCACAGTCCTTTAACTGGGAGTATGAGAGGATACTGGTGCAACAGAGGGCTGTGCTGAGCCTCCCATGCTCCTTCCCAAAGGGGCTCCCTGTGCATCAGCACCACAAAGTCATGGCCGTCCCTCTGTCACGTGTCACACGGACACGCCTGTGAAACTCGTTATGCAGCCATCTTCTCTGTAATCATGACTAAAAGCTTGACGTGCCGTGCAGTGAAACGTAACACCTACGCTGTGTCCTGCTGCGTCTGCACTAAGACGAGTCCCTGCCATGGATTCATGGACAGGAGCCCTAAAAAAAAAAGGCTTGTTTATCCGGAAAGGATGTCAGGGCAGCAGCCGCCGGATAACTCCAAATGCAGGCCGGATAACTGCAAATGCAGGCCGCCTCCAGATCCCCAGATGAAAACTTTCATGAATAATAAAAAAAAAAGTTCTCTTTTTGACCGTAAGCTTCTGTTTTATTCAAGAACAAAGAGGACTTCCTCTGAAAATAGACAGGAGTTCCTTTGTGGTTGATGATGCGGCAGCACATGCAGAGCAAACCAGCTGTGATTGCGCAGAACGGTCACGCTGGGTACCGCCTGGCTGTCGTGCCGGAGACAGCGCAGGCTTCAGTGCTCTCGTTTCCGTCATGCGATTGGCCGCTCAGGAACTCAAGGCAGCCAATGGCAGGCGGGCTCACCTGGAGACTTGACCGGTGACTGGCTGGTGGAGAATTGTCCAGCTCTTCTTACTGCATTCGGGAGGCGGAGGGGATGGGGGGGGAGAACGAGAGGTCAGCTGATGCGGTCAGGAGGGGGCACATTATCTGGGTGATTAAGGTTTGTTTAACCGCTTTGATCGCTTGCACGACATCACAGTATCGCTTGTGCTCTACATCTCAGACACGTCTAACACGGTGGGTTTTCTTCAGATATGCTAGGAAGCGCTTTTCACTGACTAATCTCTTCCTCGACATTGCAATATATGGATCTCATGCAAGCATCCTGAGCATCTGATACGCAACATTACCAGAAGACCTGGTAGACGGCAGCTGCACATGCCTGCAAGACAACTGGGAATCCCCGCAAATGCCTCCCACAGCTGATGTGGCATTTGGGCAATCCCAAAAAAAATGCCCGGTTTCACTAGTCGCTTGTAACCACTGTAGGTAGATACAGTCATTGCTCAGTGTAAACTCACAAACACTTTATCACTACAGTGTTTCTTTTAACTTATTTAGTACTTTTATCCAAAGTGACGTACAATTGAGCAAGCAGGGCCAGCCAGGGCCTTGGCTCAAAGGGCCTTAATGACATCACTCTACGGATCCTGGGATTCGAACCAGTGACCTTCTGGTGTCCTCATCCGCCGAGCCACATACTGCCTTAGCTTAAATCTCTTCGGATTGTTCATGTAGTTGCTCAGAGCTAGTATTCACATATATTCTGTGGCTATCCTGTAGTCCAGGTACAGGTATTTATTGTATTTGGTGCTTCAGTATTTATCGGAGTAATAGTGGCGTTAGTGCTTCATAATCCTGATTTCGGAGTGTCAGATCAGAACATAGAGGTTAGTACAGATTATGCCGAGACAACTGACTTCAGGTCAGCTGTCTGTGGCTAAGGGGGTGGGGGGGTCCTACCTGCAGCTGGGGATTTGTTCCGTCGCGTCAGTCCGGGGCTCTTGGATCCCGGGGGCCTGGCGGAAGGTGAGGCGCGGGCATACGAGGATTTGAGCACTTGGCACTCTGCGGAAAGAGTGATTCGAGGATGAGACAGCCATAATCCCACAATTGCCCCACACACAAACCATAAACGTCCTGACGTAACACACAGACCCAAACAAGTCATGCTCAAATATCCTTCCCCGACACGCATCGTCCTCAACAAAGTCCGCTGGGTTCGGTCCCTGAGCTCCCTGGAGTCACATTACAACCTTCGCCTGGACTGGGGTCACGTCGGGGTAATGCCCAAACACGCGGGGCAGCGGGACCCAGGGGACGCCTACAGATTTCATATCCGACAGCACTGTAGCATGATGACAAATGAGCAGTGAGCAGTCTGAACCACTATGACATTTATATTGGCCTCATTGTCTTGCCTCAAAACACGAGCCCAAAACTCATACACAGAGATCCCATTTAGTTAATCTGCTGCATCGCGTCTTGTGCATTATACAAAGAGGTGTTCTGTTAGCCAGCACCACATTTCCTCTGGAAAATCTACTGTAAAACAACATTGCAGTAAGGCAGTAAAGAAAATCTAATTTGATTGTCTGGTAGAGTGGGGGTGTTATAGGCCACACAGCGGCGGGTTTATACCCGGGGGCGGGGGGGTTGTTTTTCATATCCATCCATCCATCCATCCATCCATCCATTCACAATCCATAACCGCTTACCCAGTACAGGGACCCCGTGAGCTGAGCAAAGCCACTGAAGAAGAACTAAATGACTCATAGTAATCCACCGTGAGAGGCGCCAGAGAGGACTGGGTTCAGGTGGGTAGCAGCTTCCTTTACTGGCTGTGTAATGGAGGTGTAAAGTTCAGATCCAGAGAGTAAAAATCCGGACCAAGATTTTGTTTCAACCAAGCAGTTGAGTACTCTGTGACTGTGACTCTTTGTACTCAACTGGTTGGTTGAAACAAAATCTTGGTCTGGATTTTTACTTTCTGGATGTGAATTGTCCTCCTCTGCTGTTTAATGACATCTGAGCTATAAACAGTATGAATAGTCATTCTACTCGCTGGCATATGTGACATTTGAGATCCTGACCAACTGTAGTGGTTCTGGTTTTAATATCACTTCATTACTTTGGTTTGTAATGAGATATTTGATATTTAAATAGCTCAGTACTTTGGTTGTAATGACTTTAGGCAAACTGTCACTCTGCCCAATCAGGTTTGGCAAACACTTTCTTTGTAAGTTAGACAAAATAACCTTTAAATATGCAGGTTAGTCAGGTATAATTCTCAAGTAATTATGTTCCTTTAGCCAAAATGCATTATGGGAAAACATCAGTGTATGTTTACAATCTGGAGTCTTGGATCTATCTCGGAGATCTCCATGTGACTCCACCTCGAGAGAGGACAGAAGGAGGAGCTCCTGAAATAACAGAGGATGAAGTGACTGCGATGGACAGGGTGCGTCCCGTCACACCGACTGTCTCTGGAAGCCATCTTTTCAGCGAGAACAGAGCTCACAGTGCGGCAATGTGGCTGACAGCGGAGTCCACATCAGCGTTCACACTCTCTCTGCAGAAAGACGGAGAGCATGCTAGTCCCCATCAGCGATATTGCTGAACTCTAATCTCGATTTGAGAACCACAGACGTCTCCGATCAGACACCGCGAGCATCTCCGTCGCCCTGCCTGCCGCGGGGTGATGCTGTGTGTAGGGTGATGAGGCGTAACATCTCAGACAGCCTGACGTTCAGGAAGCCCGCAGGGGAGCCTTACCGCTGTGGTCCAGAACAAAGTCATCCTGGGCGTAGCGGTGCTTTTCTGGGCCGCAGGCGATGAACACGTCATCCTCGCCGAAGAAGTCCTGCAGGCAGGTGACCTAGAGGGGTGACAGAGAGCGCGAGACAGCTGATCAGGCTGTCAAATCGGTCATCATTTACAGCGTACCACACCTGGGCTCTTAACCGGGCCCCTCGCTCGACCCCTAACCGGGCCCCTCGCTCGACCCCTAACCGGGCCCCTAGCTCGACCCCTAACCGGACCCCTCGCTCGACCCCTAACCGGGCCCCTCGCTCGCCCCCTAACCGGGCCCCTCGCTCGACCCCTAACCGGGCCCCTAGCTCGACCCCTAACCGGGCCCCTCGCTCGACCCCTAACCGGGCCCCTCGCTCGCCCCCTAACTGGACTCCCCAGGGCTACTAGGCTCTCACCTTTTTTCACACTCAGGGTGAGTTTGTGCAGAATCTTCACACCTTTTTTCACCTCTCGCAAAATTCTAATTAATTCTGGCCTCTCAGTGAAAGTTATACTTAACAACAAAAATTGATGGTGCAGTGCGCTGCAGTGCGCTGCAGTGCAGTGCTTGCAACAAAAAAAAAAAAAAAAAAAGTTAAATCCAGTGGTGACTGTCATGGTCATGCTTTCCTATTTTCAGAAATGTCTGAATCTTTTCTCTTCAAGAAAATGGTAAAAATGTCTATATATACAGACCCACAGCGTGATCATGAAGACAATAGCGAATCTAAAAAAAAACAAGCAGAAAGTAGTGGGGGGGGGGGGTAGGCTGATGTGTTTAATGCACCTACATCTGAGCCTGACGCAGGAAACAGTGCAGCATGTTCTCGCTGCACATCTGCTCCCGGCGGCAAGTCCGGGGTAGGATATCACGGTCCCCAAAGCAAAGAGCAGAATAACCGCTCTCTGGGGCTCGGCCGTGACGCCCATGGTGAGGCAGCACTACTCCCCCCGTTATTTAATAAGCGATTTTCACAGAAGGTACAGAAATCAAGCAACAAACTATGATGCTGCGAGCTGGCAGGAGATGCCGCTGCGGCATGCGGCCGACCCTGGGTGACCTTTGCCTTCCATGGCGACTGATGACCAGCCACACATGTGACTCAGCTGATGTCACCCCGCTGACCCTTGACCTTTTACAGCTGCTACGGGGTCAGCCAAGCAGACCGGGCGGCCCCCCACCGTGGGGAATCCTTCATGTATCTGGTCATCGTTTTTCCTTTGGTTCACGAGCGATGCTGACTGGGTTCAAAGTCCGACTTCTAATCTATCATCAAAATGCTCAGTAGCTGGTATCTCCATTCTAAGTGGTTTCAAGGCTTGTAGTAAAGATGTTGTTTACCATTATATCCTGAGGGAATGCAAATTTCTCACTATTATGTTAAACGCAGATTAAAGAGAAGCTCTCTTCTCAAGGAATATGAAAAGACCTGCTTAACACAATCACTACTAATGTTGACGATACTGTACTAAGTCGTACAGCAAGTTCCACTCCGTCTGCTAAAGTCTGATAAATGAAGTAAATTGAGGCCGTCAAAAACAGAGCAAGTAGCTAAAGTCACCTCACCGGCGATCAAAGTGAGACACAAGACTAGGCAGAGGGATAAAAATGGCCCGGCCAAGTCCCCGATATTCGCTGAACGTTCGGAGTCTAGTTCCTCAGTTCTCCCGTTTTATCTTGTCAAATGACCTCCCTGCAGGAGCCTTGTTTATTTGTCTTGGTCGCTTTGTAATCAGCGGCCGGTCTTATCTGGAACCAACATCCGAAGCGACTCGCGTCCAAACAATCAGGCCACCCTGGTGGATGCCGGACGCCGCCGTTGCACATCCCTGAAGCAGAGGCTCCGTCGCGGCTTCAGAAGGTATGACATCACTTCCTCTTACTGGGCGGCCGGTCTTTTGCTGTCTGTCCATCTCTGCCCCTTTGCCGTTGCGCATAACTCCATAGGTCAGACACCGAAACTAGAACAAATATACACCCCACTTCTGCCCTGGACCCCATACCTAGCATCCTGGGGGGGGGTTTCCTGGGCAGATGGGGCCCCGCGGCTCCCAGACAATGCCTTGGCGGAGACACACCCACAAACCCATCCCTGCATGTCCCCGGCAGATGGACACAATAGCTGTTGCTTCCTCTGACGGGGAGCAGGACAATGTCTATAGGCAGAGTAATGTGCTGCACAAGACCGCCGGTCCTGCTTTAGTACATCTACATGTGCAGTGCGACCAGACCGGCCTCCTGTACAGACTGCCACCCTGGGAATGAAGGAAGGACTGATAGATAGATAGATCTAGATAGATAGATCTAGATAGATCTAGATAGATCTAGATAGATAGATGATAGATAGAGTTCATTTATGACACAGCAAAATCTCATTTACCTGGAGACACGGACCTGCACTGTCATTTCGTATCAGTTCTTAATTACAAAAAGGTGTGATCACACCATCAGATCTTCACGCCCACGGCGGGAGCCTTGATGATTTAACGCTGTACTAGCGAATGTATAAGAGGTGTTCAAAAAGAATATTATTTCTTGCAAATATTCAACATTCTGTCAGCTGCCCTGATCTCCCTCCCCCACCCCCAAAACCCAAAAGAAATCCCAGATGAATTCACTCCCCTGCTGATAAATGTTCGGCAGCCACAACGCGCGATAGAGCACGTCTGACAGCGTGTCATTAGCATGTACACGGCCTCTGAACTCACACTACAATTACTTGACTACACTGGGGAGCACGAGTGTGTTTATTTAAAGAAACTGTGGATAACTGGATAACCTAGATTACCAGATTTACCCTTTAACTTTGCACTAACTGACACAAAAACACAAGAGGACTATCAATTGGAATATTTTGGATGGAATAATCCACAAATATTAGCTATAACATTACGGGGTGTTTCTAAAACCACAGGTCTTTGGGTATTCAGTTGAGCTTAAGAGATTGTATTTAATTTCCCGGAGTGATGACAAGCGGCCCCCCACCCCCAGACTGCATTATTTGCTGACATTTTTGACAAAAAAAAAAAAAAAATGCAGTTTCAAAATCCACAGAATATGATTGGCCGGGATTCAGGAAGCCCCTCCCACTCGGGAGCTTGGCCAGTGTCACCACTGAATACAAAGGAGGTTGCCCTGGCGAGATGGGTTACTACAGCAGGTCCTATGCCAGCCAAAACAAACCCCTTTACCACTAAAAACCAACAACCCATCCATCCATACTCCATTTACTTAGGCCAGGTTCATCTTGCCCTCGCTGACAGTGCCAGCTGACCAGTCTCCTGTTTACTTTCTGGGGCATCAGCAGGGGACAGAGGGGCACCACATCCCTGCCCCCCCCCCCCCCATGTATGAACCCACAGCAAAGAGACGTGATCCATGGCGACAGCATGCGCCAGACTCTGGCAGACGTTACCATCACTGACGGGACTCCGCCCCCCGCGGGCATCGCAGATGGCTGGGCATGGCGGAGGGCTCCTGAATCATGGAGCGTGGAGGACAGAGCGGTGGGTCGCCCTCGCAGAGACGTGTGAGCCAACGCCCTTGACCGAGCACCTTCTTGCCATGGGAGGCTGAGGCCACCTGAGGAACCGGCACCTGAGCTCGAAATGCAGCCTCCCGTTATGGCGGAGAAGTATTTAATAACACGACTGTCACTGTTAAACTGCAGCCATATCCAGCCAATTACACATCAGCTCAGCCAAATTACCAAATAAATCCCAGTTACTCTGTTTCCGCTGTATTAAATTACGGCGAAATGATCGTCTCGCATGAACGTAAATGATATTAATTATTCAGCAGCCCGTCTGTGTGACTCCAATTAATCTTATTCTGTGATAATGGCACCATTCTCTCCTGCGGTCCGGAATGCCACGGGGGACAGGATTTAAACATCTGGAATGAATCGCAAAACGGCAGAAACATCAGGATAAAAGGACAATGCGATGAGGCGCACTTGGTTAATCTGTGAACCTACGATTGTTAATCGTGACCCCCTCCCAAGTGGCACATGGGAAGTGTTTGAATCCTCCCAGTCGGAGTTAATATGAGGGGGAAAAAAAAGTCAGGAACAGATGGGGGGGGGGGGGGGGCAAATACCATGTGTTACTGTCTAAAAGCTATTTATGGCCTTTTAACCCTCTAAGGGGTGGGGGGGTGTCTTGAGACAAATAGGTATCCTGACTGCTGGGCAGGCGCCGTGTTAACAGACCCCCCCCTCCAGAATGAGGACTCCACCCCCCCCTTCGATGGTGACACACGGTATGAGCCAGCAGAGGTGCCAACCAGCAGCATTGTGTCCCCCTGAATCCCACATGGGCCCGACTGTGACAGGCGCCTTCACCCGAGGACACGGGGCCTGACAGGAGAATGACAGACGGGGGGGGGTCCCAGATGCCTCATTATCCCTGGGGGGAGGAGAGGAAGGCGGCCGTGACGACTGCATCACCTTCTGGGCAGATGTTTCTGGAAAAACAGCTGTGCCCAGCTATTAGCGACGCAACGGTAAAAGCTGTTAATGAGCACGGCTGGTAAGTAACGTACCATAAAGCTTACAGTATGGGCGTACGGCTCTAATGCATCCATCAGGAGCAGAAGGCCAGGAGACGCGGGGGGCGGTTTACAGAGCAGGGTGCCAGGTGCAGGAGGGCCGGTCTTAGTTAAAATTAGAAGGACCAGGACCGTCACGCCAGACCTGGAAACCCGGAGCCCGTAATGACGGCCGATCCCCTCATGACAGCCATGTCCCATTTCAGAGACGCTAATTAGCATGGTTGGCAATTTCCTCCTGAAATTGGGAGACAGTGACACCTCAATGCGGGGGGGGGGGGGGGGTCGGGCTTGTCAGTTTCGGCAGAGGTTTAAGGGAAATTTAGGGGCCGGCACAAGGTAGAAGAGGATGTTTGGAATCCTACACTGATTATACTGCGTACATATTGTGTTTACATAACCAGCAACGTCAAGACAGAACATTATGCTAAGTGGGTAAAAGAAAAACACCACAAATAAATTTTAATCTCACCCTGTGACGGACTGGGATCCTGTCCAGGGCGCCCCCTGTGCTTCTTGTGTTTTCTAGGCCCGGT